ATTTTTTTGCCTAAATATAGAAAACTGGTTTAATTAGATTCACTTTGTACAGGATGATGGGTACTGAAGACTAACCAAGGTCAACTTTAGAAATAAATGTCTGTCCGAGTGCCTCAGTCTCGCCTACTTTTGTTTGCAAGCAGCTGGTTTTTTAAGATGTGTTACGATTGAAGGGTGCCATAAGGAAGTGAAATTACAGGATATGGAGGCATGACATCAAAGTACTGCGGACTAGCAACGCAAGAGTGGTATCACGCGTGGTGGGGTGATATCCGTACTGTTCATATATGTATATAAGTGTAGACTACCGCTTACTAGCTTGTGGTCGTCCTGAAGGTAGGCTGCTTGTTTTCCATACCAATTACATAGAAAAAACTACAGAAAAGTTTCCTGAGTAACGACACTGTTGCTGTCCGTTACTATTTCATGTTCATCCATCAAAAACCAAAACAATTCAGGAAAAAATCTGTATCGCTTCATAAATTGACAAATACATTTATCTAAAGGCAAATATATTTAATAGTGATGTAATAAGCTTCTAATATGTTGGTATATGCCCGTATGTCTGAGACTGCACTAGCTGTTGCATCTACTCTTATAAAGGAAACAACACCTGTTGTCGATTATTATCTGCTTCACAATCAAATTAAATAGATAGTATGGTAGTCGGTTAGCAATTAAAATTATCAAAATATTATAAACAAACGAATCATATACTTCGCCTAAGTCAACGATTACTAAGAATCAAATTCGTAATATCGCCTCATTAAATAGAACATGTTTTGCGAACATATTATTAATAATGTGAAATGATAACAGTAACATGGTCATCATATCTGATAGTGTACATAATATTATTTCTGCTCTCCTTAAATAATATTATTATACTAACTATTCTTGTCGCTAACCAGCAAAACTATGTCCCGTATATACTTATAATAATCTAACATACAAGGCGTATATTAAAAAATGGGTTCAGCTTATTGTAAACTAGCAGTTACTCACGCAAATTAAATTTTCAATTCCTAATTTCCTAATTTAACCCCTTCCAAATCTAGTTTTTTAATAAAAGATACCCAATGCTTGCAAACAATCTATCGTTATGTAAAATTCCATTGTTTCGAAGTTTAGCCTTAAAATGCAACAAACACACAAGACACATTTTAGCATTTATAATAATTGTATCAATTTTCTAGGTGGTTTCGGATAAATAAACTACTTATAAATAAACTATTCATGCTCAGGGGAGGGTCATTCGCGTTTCTCCCAACACGCATTTATAGATCAAATCATTATACCAGAATCGTTCGATGAGCATTTAATATGTACATAATGAAAATCTTAAAACCTATTATCTATCATATCAAGATACATATACAACGCCTGATTAAGAATAAAAACAAAAATGTTTTCTTTCTTATCTATGTTTATCGTTCAAACTGCGACAGAATAAATATCTAATAATACTACAAGAGCAAAGTTTGCCTATTGTTAAAAGATGGAATATATTACAATTGACACGAAAATTTCATATCAATATATAACAGAATGATAGGAACATAATTTCAACTTTTCAATAATTGTTTGGAAAAGTGAGCGTCATGGTGATAGTATCAAAAGAGATTTCCATTGTTCGAGCTACTGCAAGTGTTAGTAGGTACTTATTTTAATCATCTAAATTTAGGTGGAAAAATCTTACAGATCTCGACTTTGCGGATCTAAATGATAAGATAGAAAAGATCAAACTTCACTTATTATAATATATAAACTGTGCAGGCAAGCAGTTACAGCGAACTCAATCCTATTAGAGAGGGGAAAGGGTAATTTCTTAGTAATGGAGAACTAGCAGTACACTCGACGTCAACACGGTACGCCTTGGAAACTATTGTGACCAATTCCACACAATGGTCTAACAGGCCTGATTATACCCTCATTTCGTCTTCCTTCATTTGTGGCCTGACTGCATATTGCGTTAGCGCAGGCGGGTGTATCATATCACTATCGTCCACAAAAACCCTATAATAGTAGAATGTGGATGATTAAATGTAACTATGTTATAAAATATATTGCTAAGACTGAGCAGACATAGTTTTTTTTTATATCATGTATAGTCCTGCCAGAATAAGCAGTGTCAGGTCTTATTATGATTTGAAAACATCCATGAAACCATTGAAATATGCACACTAAAAATAGGTAATTAACACATACAGAAGGCTACACACATCTAAGACACCATTTCCTTAGTAGTATTAATTATTTATTACACAGAAGTTACAATTAATCCAGTGATTATTATGTCATGATTATTTGGTGACACACAGCTTTATGTATTATTAACAAAATACTAGGATGATTGGGTTTGGATTAACAGATTAAAATACCGCCAAATTACAATAATATCTAAACAAATGAATGCAACTTTGTGATGTAAATGAAATGTCAATACAATTTTTTAGTTCGCAAACACAAGTTTTTTATTTAGAATTTCATAGTGTAGTTTTGATTTTAATAAAACATACTTACATATTTTGTTCTTAATATAGTTTAATCTAAATATTCTATTTAAACCCTATTATATAACCACCAAGGCCGTCAAAAGAATGGAATGTCAAACAAGTTGATAGTATACATTATGATATACCTGATAGAAATTGGTAACCATCACCATCACACTTGATAACTATATAACAGACATATAACAGACATTACGTCGCTGATTAATTTGGTTTGTCCGTACCATTTAATTTGGCTGCTGCTATTAATTTTGCAATCCGAAACATTGAGGAACAAAGGAAAAATTGCCGTGCCAGTAATCCCATGCAAATAACTAGCCAGAGAAAATAAATGTGACTAATTTATATGGAATACTCCTACAACACATTTTCCTATAATGTGAGACCAATTATTATAATACTTCCATACATTATTTTCTATCTACATATATATTATGCCTATTTTATAAATTTAAATATCAAAGAGAGCAAATACCAAATTTTATGGGTTAGTTTTCAGATATTTTAGGAAACATTGTTGTTTAATAACAATAATATGAACAATTATTAATCACAATCTGCTGTCTTCATACATATATAGTACAATTATTTAATTTACTATATTTACTCATATTTTATACCATAAATTTAAGCATAAGTCAAAACAATATTACAGAATGAATTGAAAAATAGAGATTGGCAATGGTTGTTCTCGCAAGTTGAAAGACAACAAGATATTGCTGAGATTATGTTATGAGCAATCCATTTATTCATCAGTAGATCTGAACCAGAAAATCTAAAAAGGTGGCCCATGGAACACAGGGCTCATGAAGATGGTTTCATTGTTTTATGGTTAATCTGACATATAAAGAAAATGTTTGTGTAAAAAACTCATCAGCTATGAGATTTTTAAACAAACATTTTCTTTGTGCCAGTTACAAGGCTTTTTTACAGTATTCAGTCTATGAGGAGAATGTATTATTTATCAAAATAACTAGATAAAATCAGCCTACCATTAGGAAATGAAACACAATCCAAAAGGTTATGAAAGTATTACAACAATTGAAGCCAATCTATTGTTATTATAGATTTTATTTCATTTGGACCAGAAGTAAATAAATTTCATAGAACCAATAGCATCTGTAACTAACTACTGAGCAGAGTTTATGCTATAGGTACCAGGGAAAAGTACAAAGGTGGTTTTCAATATCAAAATAATGTAAATAGGAACTTACAATTTGTCAAACTCTAAAGTCTTTAAGATTTGTCATTTGTAAAATTTATTGTTTTGAAAATCCAAAGTTAAGAATCGAAACTATACCACGAGACTCCTGAAAGAATTTGTACACGCTGTGAGCTAGGTTAATCCAGCATCGGATTAATGATACTAATTGCAAATATTTCAGTGCAATATTTTTATTTTTATCGAAATATAGATAGACAAAAATGATGAAATGTGGTTCAAGCAACGCCGATAAGATATTTGATTACCGAAATAAATTAAAGGAAACAACAAAGCTACTACATACCTGCCAAATTACGAACGGTAAATTAATAAACACAAATCAGTCAGAATTACACAGAAGAAACACGTAAATACGTAAATATATTTTAATACAATAGTTTACATTAGTGAAAAGTTTTGGAGATGAAAACAAAAATAACTGTCAAAGTTAAAATTTTTATTTTATTCCTCTAATAGGCTAAAGGCTGAAGGAATTTGAAGCAAACTGCCTTGTCTTTTAAAGCACAGTCAAATATTAAAAATAATGAGAATTCATGAACTAAATAAACAACAACAGAATTTCTGTATGGTAAATTTTAACATAAAGAAATAGTAAGTTTAGAATACATGAAGAAAATTTTCATTCTTAAAAAGATTTAGATTAAAGGTCTCTAAAGATTAAATGATAAATGTTTCTAGTTTCCTGCTCCTTTATCTATGGTTCATTTATCAAGGTCAGGCATCATTTGACAGTAGCAAACTAGTCACAATAGGATATCGATATAACTATAAAATATAACAATATCGATTTTAATAAAAAATAATGAAAATAGATGTTTTAACAGACGTCTTTTATTGCAGAGCGCAGTGACAGAAGTAATATAAAATAAAAATTATATAAAGAACATCATATTTTGAATATGGATAAAAAGAATATAAAAACTGCCAGTGACTCTCATTGTAGGTCTAACAATTTTGATATATATCATCATCGTCAGCCCACTGCAGTCTACTGCTAGACATATATATATATATATATTTAATTGAAATATCGATCAGAAAACATCTATGTTTGGTTTACCTACAACAATAATTTTATTATATTTTTAGCCGCCCATACTGGTTACTATTATTTTTGATGAGAAAGACCCATGTAATTTCTTTTGCGACGCTCTGCGTCTCTCTCTTTGGTTATGTTTTCGATGTCATGAAGATTTATTTATTGTCGATATTTAACATCGATGCGTAACGAACACCCCTAGTACCTATTGCCCCTACAGCGTCAAATGTCAAACTAAGTGTCAAATCAAATTTATTTACTAATTTCTATTTTTCTATATTGTAAGTTTTATTGAAACATTGACAAAATCAAGACACAAAATCTATCTACTAAAACAATATACAGAAATTTGTTTAATTTTATCAATAACTGTCAAAATGGGTTTATTCGGTAAATCTCCTGAACGTAATCCAAAAGAAATGGTATGACACATTTGTTATTCATCTTAGTATTCAGTTAAAAATTTACGTATTATTTTTTATGTAATAAAGAAATACTGATTATATTTTTATTATAGTACAGTCTAACACCAATGACCCATGAAAAACTATGGAGGTCACACTTAGCTCACTGTGACAAATTTTGTAGTGATTCATTATCATTGGTTTCCAGGGCCACAATTGGAAGTGAACCTTATAGGGTCTGCTGTTAGCAATATACATTGTTACCTTACCTTTTCCATGTTACATTTTTAAATATTGACATCTATTTTAGGTAAATGAATGGTCACACAAACTTCGAAAAGAAGGGTACAATTTAGACAGACAAATCCGAGGTAGGAACATTTAAATTTATGAGTTATTTTCATGTTAGTTTCCTTTTGGCAGTTAATTATGTTTTAAAACATATTGATATCAGAAACATTTCCAAAAGAATTGCATAACTCTGAGGAGAACAGACACAGAATTCTGAGGAGCGCAAACAGACTCATAAACATCATTCCACTACTGCAGACCCAGTACATCTAGAGGTGTACATAGATTTATGAATTGAGCATTATCTGCTAATATTTTACTAACATAATATGAATGAAGAAATTTAATAAATAAATTTATAGTTAAATTTTAATTACTTTAAGAAATCAATTTTATTTTAGTATTCTTGTAAATGTAAAATGTGTGTGTAATATAACTTTCATATCCTAATACTCAATTTATAAACTATTCTAGGCATACAAAGAGAAGAGGAAAAAATAAAGCGGTCACTAAAGGAAGCGGCCGGAAAATATGACAAACAAGTGTGTACAATATTAGCCAAGGAAATCATTAGATCGAGGAAGGCAATCAGTAAAATATACACAAGTAAAGCTCATTTAAATTCTGTGCAGATGCAAATGAAGAATCAGCTAGGTAAGTAAACATTGACTAGATGAATATATTAATTTATTAACTGTATTCAATGACCATGTTTAGATTATTATTACTGATTCTGACTAAGCAAAGCAGAGAACAAATATGTTATTTAGACTATATTACTAAATATATTATTTAGACAAATAATTATTTAGACTTATCTCCGATCCTGGAAAACCATTCTAAAATGGTATTTAGAATTGTTTTATGGTTAATAAACCATAAAACAGTCAAATGTTTTTATTATTAAATAAAACATTTGACTGTTTTTATTATTAAATAAAAACATTTGACTGTTTTTATTATTAAATAAAAACATTTGACTGTTTTTATTATTACAATACTCTTGCTCAATATTACAGTAAATTTTGTTGATTTATTAACTTATTTAATTTAGAGAACTAGGGCAGCCAGTCACAACATTCAATTTTAACTGTTACTATATTTATTAGCTAGTATCAAAGTAATTATGTTTCTATACAAAAATTTGTATTAAGTTGTAGTATTGGTTACTGTTTACAGCTACATTACGAGTGGCTGGATCACTTCAGAAATCTACTGAGGTATGTAATATGTTAATGGTAAAACATTAATAGTTATATGAATTTAAAATTTAAACATTTATATACAAGCAAAACATCATTCACATTTCAATGTACAGAGAAACAGACTTATTTCATTATGAAATAAATCTCTGTACATTGTAACAATACTAACAGGTGGACTGTAGGGGGAAAGGGATTGTTAGTAATGTGGACTCTCGACCCCATTGCTAGCAATGTACCATGTCAGGTTGACCTCCACGCGGTTCCCCCTGGAAACCGTAATAAATTCCAGATTAATTTATCACGATGGGCTAACTGACCTGACCTCATTCTCATCTTATCATCTTTCACTGGTGCCCCGCCAGCGTAAACCGTTAGCGCAGGCGGGTGCACCATTTCATTATCATATACAAAAAAAAAAAACAGGTGGACTGTACTAACAAATAAAGAAGGACAGGAACATAATGCAACCAATGTTTTTCTCCTCACTTATAATCCCCCTACCCCTTGATCTTAGAGGTAGCAATAAAGCTTGCCTCCTACCACATTACAATTCAAATAAGACATATGATATTTTAAAGAATTCATAACTTATTTAAAATATTTTTATTTATTAGAATACATAATTATTTAATTAGTTGGTGTATCTGAATCTAATATGTTCTATCTTTACACGCAAGCATGTAGGCGTAAAATGCACATTTCAATCTAGAGAAACCTCATATTTTATTTCACAGGTAATGCAAGCTATGCAAGCTTTGATAAGGTTGCCAGAAGTAGCACACACAATGCAAGAGCTGAGTAAGGAGATGATGAGAGCTGGTATTATTGAAGAAATGCTTGACGAGACAATGTCAAGTGTAGAAGACGAGGAAGAAATGGAAGAAGCGGCACAGACTGAGGTTGATAAGGTACAGAGAGATATTTATACAACCCACATTGTTAAAAGTGCAGAATATTTAACTGTTTTATAAGTTCTAAAAATTATCTCCATACTCATTTCCTTGTATTGATATTACAGTGGTGGAAAAATGGTAAACTTAATTATTTACTAAAATAATTAAACATTTATTAAGGTTTTAATATAATATGAATAATTACGGACTATATGTATATGATGTCTGTACAGTATTAAGTAACTACTAATAATGTTAAGAAAGTAAATACCTTTCTTGTCTATAGGTGTTATGGGAATTAACACAAGGAAAACTGGGCGAAGCGCCCGCGCCGCCTACCGCCGTAGCCGCGCCATCAACTAGCAAGGAGGAAGAAGTTGCTGAACCTGACGAGAGTGAGCTAGATGAGATGCAGTCTCGATTGGAAGCACTAAGATCATAGAACGGAGAGTTTTGTTATTGGTAGGTTGCATATTAAAATATATATATATTTTTTAATAATTTGTATAAGACTGTATTTATTTATGATACTGTATTTCTTTTTTCCCCAGATAAATGTAAACAAGATCTTGGTACTAATGGGCACAGCAGTGTCATGTGCAAAAATTATTGCCTTACGAATATTATGTAAATAACATTATAATTAAGTTTGCATATATTTATAAGTCACTTTATTGTTGTTATAGCATCTTTGTGCATTTCCAAATTATCTAAAGTAATTTTTATTTATTTAAAGGAACTATTTATTTATGAGAGATAAATTTCAGTTACGTTAACCTTTTTATTTTAGTTATAACAAAGTATAACGATTGTGATTACATACTCTATTAGAGCATACCCATAAGATAATATTTTAAGTTCAACAAATCTCTCAACTATTAGTATGTTATCAGTTGTTAGCCAGAAATATCAATTTAGTTCTAATATTATATAAATTGAAACCTCATCAAGATTTCATTAAAATAAGCTTATTCTAATTATAGTTCTAATTTTCTTTATAAAATATCTACATATATTTATGCTATGTGCATGCAATTTGCCTCAATTGTATTTATTTTACACAAACCTTAATTACTTTTAATCTTAAGTGTTTTTAAGAAATTTAAAGATGATATTTTTTTTGTGCATAGTTATGTTATAAATTGTAACTATTATAGTTATATGCCTGACAATATAAAATTTATCGACCAAGTATATTTTATGAGTTGTGGTATTGATGGGCTTATCAATTTTTATCGACTTGTATTCATTCAGTCCCATCTAACAAGATTTCATGCCGTTCTATCTCGTCTCTTCTATACAAATGTTGTACATATTTAAAAAAACGGTCTATGGGCAGCAATTACAACTAACTGAATAAACAATAAATAGCGATTGCGAATCATAAGCCACTTATTACGGGATGCAGGAAAGTTCATTTATTTCCAGCGCGTACTGTGAGTACCTAATTGTTGTGGTGATATTTTTTTACAATTAGTATTATTGTATTTGTCGATAACATTGCATTGGTATAACAAAAAATAACTAAAATTAGAATTTTATAATAAATCAATGCACTAATGTTGATACATTTTTCATTTTATACTTCCTCAAATCCCATTATATTACAGCCTTGAAACAAGTCTGAGAATGGGAGATTTTCTCTGGACTTGCTTTGAATCCATGTATTATACTAACAATGCAAAAAATGACTAGATGTGGAGTAAAAAAACACTTAATGATTTAAAAAAATATAATTCGAATAATACTATATTTAATAACATTGGCTATAAATGATTTATGTACTAAAATATATCACAGTTTGTTACAGCATTTTGGATGACAAATCTAACTCTAGCTGTAGGTCTTGCATGGACTCCTTCTTTAGTAATGGCTTCCTGTCAACCTCTTTAGCTTTTTTGGCGTTCTTTTTCTTTGTTAATCTGAAAGTAAGGTAAATTTCTTAAGTCACGGAGGAGATATTGTCTAGAGCCGTTTGCATTGGTAACTCTTCAGTCCTATTGGTAATTCAGTACTAATAGCTGTCACAAGCTGTATTTTTATGTGAATGTTAATATAAATGGCAGTGCAATTACAGGATACAAGAGCATAACAAATTGGTCATCAGGAATAATAATGTACATAAAAGGTATAATGCGCGACATGAACGTATTTTGTAATGTATATAGGCGACGGTTACCGCCTTTCCAACTGTTGTGTTATAAGCCAACTGTTGGAAAGGCGGCTTGCTTACCATTATAATTTTTTAAAACAAAATATATAGCATATGACAAAATATATATGTACGTATATAGGCAATGTTACATATTTTTTTAATGTATAATACGCTGGATATGGTATGATAAGATGAGCATGAAGTCAGGTTAGTCCATCATAGTGAATCATCACGAATTAACCACGATGGTTGCTTGTGGCGAATGTTACCTATTAACAACGCCATCAGGATGGTCCATCATGCGTATGATGTCCGCCTGATCGGAGGAATCCAGTGGTGCCACGGAGATGTCCCGGACGGCACGGAACTTGCCGCAGTTGTTGAGGTGCTCGTTCTCCAACCGGAAGAAGTTCCAAATGAAACGTCTGGAATAAATAAGATTATAGATAAAGTGGTAGTTTCGCCTACATACAAGGAATCATATATACATCTTTTTTATATTATTTATTATACATATTATTTGTGTTACATATTTTATTATAAAATTTAATTTATAAAAAATTAACAAAGTCAAAAAATCTTTTTTATTTCACTTTCTTCTCTCTCATCTCAATCTCTCTTTGAGTGGTATACATACCTAAAAACTTCAAGAGGAGCTAGTATTGACGTCATCGTCTCCCCATTGACATACTTGTTCTCGGTAAGTATGAAAGACACCGTCCAAATGAATCGTAGCACAAAATCCTCTACTATTGCAAAGTAGTAGAACTGAAAGAAATAAAAAAATTAAGGAAATAAAATTTACAAAAAATTCTACCTTATAATTAAAAATGCATTCAAACAGCGTGTAAAATTTGTTGTCGAATACAAAAGAAATCAAAACCTCAAAAAATATTGTTCAATTAAGAACAATGACCTATTTTAATTAGGTTGAAAATAAATTAAACTCACTCCAGGACTGTAAACAATTTCTTCTCTAAGGAACTTGTTCTCGGCGGTAGGCCCGACTGTGAATAAGCCCCAGTCCATCTTCACGTCCCACGTGTAGGTATAAAGTGAAGACACCAGCTGACATCCGAACCATGCGTATAAGAATGGATTGTCGTACGGATCGGCGTATGCGCCTGTGGAATGAAATAATAATATAATTGAACTATTTTTTATTACACATCTATAGCCAAAAAGAAACCGAGTATTTATATAATCACACACATGCCTATCTATTTGCTAAAAAGTAATTAATATCAAATTATTTTACTACCGACAATGTTGATGATCTGCTGTAGGTTGGCGAAATATAGTAAATATCATGTATAATGTAGAGGAAACAAAAAAATATTTATGTATAAATAGCAATACTATTAACAGGCCATAGAATTATTTTAAATTTTATTTTTATCATCATTTCTACTATTTGTATTTGACGAGGACTTACAAACAACAACGGTATCGGTAATATACTAATCATTCGCTCATATTGTAATTTTTATATATAATTGAAATGGTAAACAGGCTGACGTCCCACGTGCTAAGTGGTAACTATTGCTTATATAAATGAATAAATAGCACATAAGCCATCACGTCACCATATGGCTCTCGTGTTACTTCCTCATACTTTGGATTCTGTAGAACTAATCAATATTAGGACTTTATATCCTGTAATTTTACTATCACGATGGTTCATTCGAAACAGCTTAGAAAGTAAGCATACTGGCGGCTGAAATACATACGTGAGATAGAGGTGCTCACACAGACCACTTTGTACAAAGACTGTCTCGGTAAACTATAGATTACTTTTTCAAACGAACAGCTCAATATATATATATATATATAATTTTATTTTCTCCAATTTTCACATTATATATTGTTCCCTGGTACCTAAACTAAGTATAAACCTGTATTTAAGGTACCAGTTCCTTACTCTTAAGTGTACATAGAATAGTATGATTACTGAAGTATTGATTACACTCACCGCTATAAATGACTCGCAAAGTCTGGAAGAGGACCACGAAAAAGGTCGTGGAATATTTCCCCGCGTTGACAAGATGAGGGAACGCCTCGCGGCTGTCCCGATAACGTCGAAGGCACTGCCAAAACCGGGCCCATGCTGGTACTATGTTCACTAGGCCGCGCGTTATTATAAACCAGTTGGCTTTCTCGAATGCATCTGTTAACATTGTGTAATACTTGCGATGATCATATTATTCCTCTCACGATACAAAAAAAAATGTTTATTCATGAATATGCTTGTTTATATTGGTCTGAGTATAATAATAACCCTGGACAATTCACACAATGATATCTAGTCTGGAAGCAAGCAGAGTTTGCGTTATTATTGTGATCATAATGATTATACTCATGAATACAAAATGTTTGTAACGTGCGAGGAATCAAACCAGCGACCATCGGAAGTGACCGCGATCATAGTCTCGACTCTACATAAAATAGAGTCCAACAAACAATACAGTATAATTATCAATTGAAACTAACTGTTTACTTGGAACCAGTCCCCGCCTACCACATAGAAGGCAATCAGGTAATGGAAGTCGAGGAAGGCCGCTGCAAATGAGTTCCATTGATCCGCCAGCCAGAAATCAGCGAACAGTACAGGCATGAACGGCGCTGCTAGAATGCGACCCTATGGAATAAATTATTTAGGATGTTGTAGCATGTAACCTCAATTGTAGATTTTTATATTACGACGTCGATCGTCACTATACATTTTGAATTATACTTTTACTAATTCTTGTTCTATTCTCCAATATAGGCAAAATTTTCACCGACGTAGACTAAAAGTACTCTGTGTGTGTTTTTTATCGAGCTTATAACTGCTGCCAAACAAGAGCTTGCTTTATTTATTTATTCTTTTGCACACAAAAATGTATACAAGGCGGACTTAATGCCTGATGGCATTCTCTACCAGTCAACCGTCGCGTTGATCAGAGATAATAATAAGGCGGTGCAATTTAACAATTAATATATAAAAAAAACAAATATGGATAAATACGGAAAAATAATATTCTATATATTATTATATGCAAATATATAACATACTAATATACCCGTATAAAATACACATACAATTACATAAATAAACAAATATTAAGGCTTATTGGTTACATACAAAATAATACATATATATGTATATATACACACACATACAAATAATAAAATTATATTAAATATGCATATATAGTCTCATGGGATATTCTGCAGTTAAAAGTTTGGCTGAATACTCTGACAGAAATTTTGAATAATGTTCACGCAATGATCTCTTCAAGGAGAATTTGGATTTACATCGTCGTGCTTTATAATCTATTTCTCGGTTTCAAGGGTGAGACTTGGTAGTAAAATAGCAGGGTGCATTCATCAAACCTTAGTCCTCAGAATTGACAACTCATGAGCTATTACATCCGCTACATAATGACGTAATATCCGTAGTGAAATTCAAGCATATACATACTACCTTCCATAAGTAGGTATTGTAGCCGTCAGCTTATTTTATATTTCACTAAAAAAATTATATGTACCGTCCTTAAAAGGTGGTATCTCCATTTCGTGTTATATACTTGCGTCAGAGATTGTACTATTTATCTTAATCTTCAACCCAAAAATATAACCGAACGAATTACTGTCTTAGGACAAAAGTAAACAAGACTGTAGTATCTTTCAGATAAATACTGACCTAAACACACTCTACGATTATTTTGTGTGTTTGTCACTATCCGGAGTCTTAATTGCTCAAGTTACAAAATTACATAAACGTTGCGTATTTCTCCAATATGCACAATATTTTAGATTGAGAAAGACATATGTTTCTTTTTATGCCGGATAATCAATATGTCGAATAAGTAAATTTATTTTAGGCGCTTGTAATAAATTAAATCTAAATGTCAAATCAGTTAGGTATATATAATAGAATAGTTTCAACTAAGAACAAAAATGAAACTTTATTTTCACTCTGAAAAATGGATTGTACTATTAATATTTAAATTTAGAGCAAATAGAATGGCATTAGAATACTTACACATATCCTCAAAAACCAAAACCGTGCTTCGTGGCGGAACACTTTCAGTGGGTTGAGGAGAAATGCCAGCATTATTATAACGAGAGCCAGCGGATTCACAAACGGCGGTATACTCAAACTGGCACTGTATATAAAGCTAAGTATACTCAAGGCCCATACTACTCCAAATATTGCCGCTAATTCCATTAAATGTTGTTCCGATAAATGGTTCCTGGGATCCAGCTCGAAGATCAACACGTGGTTGACACCGGATGATCGCCAGCCGTATACATTGATGCCTATTAGGAATATAAATTCGACTAAGAGGAACGGACCGCGGTATAATCTAAACGCCGTCTTGAAATTTTCTGTGGCACCTTCGTGGAACAGTGCTGTAAATAAAAACATTTTTTTATTCATAGATTACATGACTACTTTTTACTATTATGATACATGAATATTTATACTTTTTTGTATTAGTTATTTTTGCTTTCTGCCATACCACTTCTATTTTATTATTTCCATTTATACATTTAAGGTTACTTAAGTAGTGGTAATTCGCATGTGTCATCCCATGTGTTGATCAGATGTCCATAGGCAACCGTTTACCATCAGATGTGCTATATGCTCGTTTGTCTTCATCGTAATATAAAAAAAATGTAATAGATTTATTTTACAAGTCTGGAATCTGGAATATAGTTTTATTATCACTTACAATTTTACATATGCCAATATTGAACACTATTTCGGTTAGCCCTTAGCTGGCAATGATGACAGTTTCATTATAATTTCCGAGGTAGACTTTGTAGAAAGTTGAATGTGTAAAAACATCTATTACAGCAGATTACTTTGCAAGATGTGTACCGATTAAAGAGTGAGATAACAACATAGTAAAATCAGAATGTACAGAGCCATTCCAACTTATTCTTTGGTAATAGCAACGCTTGGGAGGTACCCAATTAAGACTTTATATCCATGGTGCTGTTCATGTATATAGGTGACAGTTACCATTTACCATCAGGTGGTTAATTATCTCGTTTGCAATTCCAATTATATAAAAAAAAAAGTTTTTTGGGCTACATTAAACTATTTGCATCTTAGGAGTTACAATATTTGCGATGAAAACTGGATTAAGTTAACTGTTAATTTCGTTTATTTACGGCATTACTCTATTGCTAGTGGTTTTAAAAAAATCCATTCATGAAACCATCATAAACGGTACCATAATTTATTGGCAGTGTTTCTATTCCTGGCCAAAGTTATCATTGTGTAAATAATGTTTACCATGGTCACCTTGGAATAGATAATTTTGTTTTACGATCATTTGGAGACCAGATTAAGTTCAGAGTTATTTTCGAGAGTAAACTTTATTCAAGCTTAACGGATATTTGCATTTTTCGTCATACTAGTACCTTAATATAACTGGTGTAGATAGATAGATAAAACATAATTGTTTCGAAATATATAAAAAAGTAAATTTGAAGAAGAGGCGTCATTTCGAAATTTCGAAAGCCTGTATAATGTAGAATTGTAAACCAACGGTGTAAGTTGTGAATACAGGACCTGACGTACCTCGCCGTAATCATAAAACCACCTGGGGTGAAAGTGCATAAAAAATATTATAAATATATCTATCGATACTAATAGTATTTGTTATATATAATTTTAAACAACTGTAAAAAGGTTTCTTGCATCTAATTTTGTCTGGTAACCCATAAGTTGGTAAAAACAAGACACACAATAATCTCTGGTAAAATAATTATCTAAGAGAAAAGCATTACCTGATAAAACAACAGTAATAAACAACACTATGAACGATCCCGAAAACAGTCCGACTTTAAAGGTAGTCCAGGGACTTTGTTGTTCACCTAAGGGCGGCACTCTCAACTTCTTCATAGCTTTCTGTCTGTCCCCGCCTTCTAATTCATTTGTAACGGTTGCTTCCGTGTCGCTTATTAATCTGTCTATGTCTTTATTTGTGTAGAAATGTGATGACTCTACATGTTCTGCTCGCCATTGCGCCCCGTTGCTTACGTTTAATAACTGGAACAGAAAATACAATGAGAATTGATCTATCGTCTAAAACTGGTTAATATGATGTCGCCTATTTTTGTTGTGATGCTGATTTAAAGCGATATTACGGTTAAAGTTGCGATATGTAATTCAAAAATAAATTCTGTATAATTGTATGGTGGTTATGGTCTCATGAGTGGCAACATATTGAATATGTCAAGTTATTGTGTAGTGGTCGTAATAATTATACTAAGATCTTAGTAATTCTCGGTGGTATAAAAAGGCTCTCATAAAGTAGGACGCCCATATATTTTACAATATCGAATCAAAATTAAGATATTTTCAAAAGTTGAACTTAATAAATGTTGACACTTATTAAGTTCGATCATGTTCGAATTTCTAACCACAATCGTTTGAACTATCAACCACAGGACACAAGGACTTAAAATAAAAACAGATATAAAAAGTACCTATACGCAGATAACTATAATAAAATAACAATTTCCTTTAATTCTCCTTCTGCCTCACGAACAGTTCATCAACCCTTACCTTATCATGTTTTTTCAATATTTTCCGAAAGCCGGTATAATTCAAGTTCTGATAATTCTGCAGTAAGATTAGGCTGAGGTAGAACTCACTGAACGCTAGTTTCAACTCTTGAACTTTTCTCCGAGGTATTGGCGCCTTTTTGCTGTCTCCGCCGCCTTTAGGTTTGATAGTTTCGAATTGGGCTTTCAACTCGCTCTGCAGTGTGGCAAATTTACGAGTCGCTTCTGCGAGTTTTTCTATGGGAATATATGAAGAACTATTATTACTGAATTCGACAGTTCTAGAGATATAGTGCAGAGACTGTATTATGGCCGATGGAACAAAGAGCTCGGGTATTTGGTTAAACTATGACAGGAAGACACTTTCATTCTAATATTAACATAAGTCTTTAGAGCAACTACTTGAAAAGTGTTGCAGTAAGTTGATGGACGCTTGTACTCTTGGTCTCTATGGACAGTTCCATGTGGCAATGTATACAGAGGGGTTTATATTCAACAGAATTCAGAGACAAGCGAACACGAAAAAATATTTATGACGGGGTGTGGGAGTGTGAAAAGGATCCTCTAAATCCCTGCCAAGAACCCTTTGCACTCTCCGTTAAGACAACATATGGATAAAAACATCTTTAACTTAAGTTTCTTTTTAATTTGTTATGACGGTGGAATACTGTGTAAATACCTGATGACCTTAAAAAGTGACAACGGTATTTATTACTAAAAATACGTTTACGGTTCAGCAATAAAGAAAAAATGACCTTTCAAATAAAAAAAAATATTTTATGATACAATCTTATTTTACTTTGGGTCTGTATTGAAGAGAATATTTTTTTCTCCTCAGCCTTTAAATGAATAGTGAGAAACACAGTATTAGCTGTAAAAAAATATTACCAAGTCATGTAAATAAACTTTTGTTACATTTCTAATCTATTGACGGCAAAATAACATGGGTTACTCAACCGCAATTATAAATTGTGCCGCCAAGCAAATTGCTTGCAAGCAATCTGAATTAATGGATATACAGCAATAAAGTCACTAGATATCTATGTGACTCAATAATTTAATTGAATTTTATCAGAGTGCTAGAATAAAATATATGACTATTCAAAAATTCTTATATTAAGTTTATTTGAATAAAGATTATTTCTATATTGAATCATCATAGATGCGTAATTGAGGGCTCTCATTTTTATAAGCACATACCATCCAACATACTGTCATTATCACTGTTCATCGTTCTATGAGGATAATAAGTGTATACCTGAATAGAATGTGTTAATTTTCTTCAACTCCTGATCGCAATAGTGGAAAAATGTTTCGTCAAAATTAGCAAAATGTCGGGATAGCACTTCAGGCTCTACATTTTCTGCTGATGGTGCTTCCTCCACCGCAGTATACAGCATTGCTTTCATTTCCTGTATATAACAATACAATTTTTAGACAAACAGTTCCTGGACTGAAATACATTATTTTACTCATATAATATGTAGTGGATATTTAAAACAATAAATAGTAATAATATATAAGGCACAACTAAATTATCTAAATTACATGCTACAGGGCATATTGTGTACATTATGATAACATTGGAACTTCATGTCATTTAGTTGCACCCTATACTAATTCTACAGAAAATATTGTTACCGAACTTGCACTATACAATGTATCATTAATAAATTACATTGTCCATACATCTTCATAAGATTTATAGACTGAATCAAAGCAAAATCATGTCTTTATTCATGTTAATATATATTATCTTTATTCCTTGAAAATAAATAAATAACTTAGAATTTAAATAAAAAAAATGTAGCAACACCTTTAGACAGACCAATAGGTAGGACTTCTTTAAGAATGTAACAATAATAACCTTTAACACACTGTGCAGCTTAAACAGTTATATAAAAATTTCCAATATAATGAATATAAAAGCTTGTAAATATTTTGAATGTTCAGATGATGCTATATTGCAAATATTTGAATTAATTTTTTTTATGTTGATCAGCATTCTTCATACTATAGTAACTTTCTTCATAATATATAAATAGTATAAAAAATCTGTTGATACATTCATATCTTCATGTGCATACTTCTTTTAAACCATTTAACGGACTTGAATAGTTCAAAGTCATGTCATCACATACAATGTGTACAGCTAAGATGAATTGCTAGTCATGATGAACAAGCCTGCAAACATCTGTACTTACTTCCTCATTTATAATATTCTTTATACTACTATTTCGGATTGAGAAGTCTAAGATTTTCTCTAGTGAAAACACATACATTCAAGGACTAGTGGAATGTATTGCAGACAGTCTGAAAGAGCTAGTTCACTAGACCAACATCATTACTTAAAAATGGATTAAGGCTAAAGAAAATAAAACAAAAATCTTTTTATGCTATTCTTATTATTAGTAGCCAATAATAAAAGAATATGAATATTATAGATGATTAAAATAATATTCAAACATACATAATAAAAATATGTTAACGATTTAAATTTATATGGACCTATATTTTATTTATTCTATTGAGATATATATATATATCTTATATATAAGGATAAAAAGGATAAAAAGCAAAATAATTAACTGTAAGGTTTGTAATGAAAAATGTCTATGTATAAAATATATAATTTGTATTTTTAGTTATAAAAGCCTTATATATCAATCAATGATATTTGAAACTGTACTGCCTTTTCCTCAAATTTGATAACTGGTTGTAATTAACTGAACTGGTTTGACATTAACTGGTTTATTCCTGCATGAACCTAGTTTTCCTGTTAGCAATATTAATTGTCTCTATTAGTGAAGCCATTTCTTTTTAATCCTATACAATAAAATGTAATTACCTAATATAATGGTTTCACTGTAGTAGTAAATAAAACCAATTTATTATTTATAACTTCTCAATAGAATGGCCTTCTACAGATTAGGAACATTATATTACCAAAATACTAATTACAGTACAGCTAATTTCAGTGTAATAAAACAAACACAATTAAAAAAGTACAAGATTTTAATAATATTGGTTTAAACATGCTTTCCATATGATAACTATATATTTAAGTAAACATATCATTCACAAATAGAATGAAAGAAAACATATTCAGTATGAAGTATATTATTGAATGGATCTAATCCTGGCAGTCACTTATATTTAACCACTTCAATTCATATATATCTATGATAGATTAAGTTAATTACAAGTTTAGAATAGTTTCTTGACACAAGGTATAAAATTGGTTTGCATTCACTACAATAATAAAGCACCAAGGACTTAGCAAATTTATTAGACAAGAATTAAATTATATTGCAAAACAGTACCTCATAGTTTATGTATTGTTTTCGCCATTCGGGCGTGATGTGAGCACTTAAATGTTCAGCAAACTTCATCTTGAGTGGAGTTTACAATACGACTGCAGAATAAGATGTACAGGTACACACTATAGCCGACACAGTAACTAATGTCTGAATTTCAGTTTATTTAGTGATAACCATAGAAATATGACCTCATACAGCAGTATCAACACAGTGGCATTATCTTCGTAAATCAATGGAATGTTTATTCGACACAAAATTTTTTAGAGCTAAGTTATCTTGTAATGTCTTTTTGAATTACAAACATGTCTTTTATATTTTTAATAGCAAATTATAAAGTGAATGAAGTGCAAGAACTCGTGACGTTTGTTTTGATATTTGAATTTGAAAGATTAAAATTTGAACTGTCAAAGCGACATGGAATGACAGCTAAAATTTCATGTTTGTCAAGAATCATTACGACAACAGACTATTTTCACTAATACCAATGTTATTTTGTTACTACTATTAGATTAATTTAAGGCATTTATTATGAACAGTTATAATTTTTTTAATAATAAGTGTATAAAACTGCGTTAACACTTTTTATTACGGACTCTAAAAGTGCTCTTCAAGCTCTAATTAAATGTCCATTCAAATCATCTAAACAGTATCCTCTAATTTTTGATATCCGAGATATGTTGAATAGCATTCGTCTCAAAGGACATATTGTATCTTTTGTTTGGATTCCGGGTCACTGTAGCATTCGGGGCAACGAAAAAGCAGATTTGCTTGCGAATGAAGCTATATTATCTGGAGATCTTTTTCCTTATAAAAACTTTTGCCATGATCTGACTGCCTTGTCTAAGTCTTGTCTTCATGATTCATGGAGTCAAGATTGGACAATAAGTAGCAAAATTAAAGGGAAACAGTACTGTTTAGTCCAACCGTTTATAGCTCTTAAACCGTGGTTTTTCAAATTACATCTTGATAAAAGATCAACTAGTGTTTTGATTCGTATGCGAATTGGTCATGTTTGCAGCCCTGAACATTTAACAAAACTACGTATAAAAGACAATAATATCTGTGAATGTGGAGAAGATGTGGGTGATCTAAATCATATTGTGTTTTCCTGCTCCTCTTACGATCGTTCTTCATTTATAGAGACACTCATCTCATTAGAAATTCCTTTTCCTTCATCCATTGTATGCCTATTAGCTCATCCTAATCCTATAATTTATAAATCTCTTGCGTCTTTTATTTCCTATAATAACATTAAACTTTAAAACCCATGATCACTAATTCCGAGTATATTCAAAATTTAACCCGTTCCTTTCCATTATCCCGTCTCGTTTCCTGTTTTTAGTGGCATAATAGGCAACACTAGCCTCTTGCCAAAGAAGAGAAAAAAAAAAAAAAAAATGTCATGTGGCTATATATTGTACCAACGGGCCGAAAGCATAACAAATAATGGAAATAAAACATTTTTTTTATATATTTTTTTATTTAGACAATATATTTTGCTGGTCTCATTACTGATTTACCACTGTATCTACTGGAAATAGTCCTAGATTTATGTTCTCGGGTATGACCCTAGCTACCTTCCTAGGTTCTTTCACTAGGGTTTTGGGACACTGCATTTCTGACCAACTTATAGGGACCATGGTAACTCCTTGTGGTGAACCCTCAGCTGCGGCTATTACGACACCAAGTTCATTCTCTGATGTTGATAAATGATACCAGTGAATTTCAGTCATAGGAAGCTGATCAATTTAATGTAAGGAAATTCATTAATTATAATACAATTGATTGGTTAAAGGTATGAATGAATGCTATATCTTTCAAACTACAGACCTTCATGCAATATCATATAGACTCTTTATACATGAAAACAAGCAGACAAAGTTCTAAGGTCCATTTAGAACACAATATTTTACAAAATTATACATATATAAAATTATTTTAGCAAAGCCTATAATGTAGTGAAAATAATGATACAACATACATATTCTTTTCACCAACCACTACATAAACTTTAATTTAAGTTGTATAAATAAAAAATCAAATTCTTCAAATACTTAATTAAGAAAATTAATAAAAGGATACAACTCTTGCTAATATTATATCACCAGGTCGGTAACATTTGTATGGATCTATCCTATCTTTATCTGTAGCTTTTATATCCTCTTTCTTCAGTATACCTCTATATGGCCTGACTAGTACAGAAGGCCCAACACATAATATTATGCAATTAACCGTACGAGAATTTACTACTGTTACTTTTGCTGTTACAATGTCCCCAGTTTGTGGTAGTACACTTGGTGTTCTTGGGCTTTCAACTGATACCACAATTGCCTGAAATAAAGATACCATGTAAGTATATAATTGCATGTTGTCATAACAAAACAGGCAATCAAATAACCATTCTAATCCATTTTATTTTAGAGCAACAAAGAGCAAGATGATACTTTCTCTTTCAAATTAAGACACTAAATTTAATTTTATACCTCCTGTCCTATCTTAACCCAAAGTCAAACTACAATTAAAAAAGTGCAAATAAGTTACAAACATTGTTGCTACCGTTATACCAAAAGGGTCAGTATTATTATTTTGAATTGAGGACCATGATGAGTTGAAATTAATTTTATATTTCCAACCTATATTTACTTAGAATTTACTCTTGTTTTGTTTACCTTCTTATCGCCATCTTCCTCCATTTTCAAAACACCGGCCAGAGCAGCATAAATATAACCTTTCAATTCATATGTTCCAGAACCAGATACAAAGTCTTTGTTTGATAAACTTACTCTCATACCCGGGATACATATTTTTCCAATATTAATTGCCTTTTCGTCAGACATTTATTTGAGGTTATTTCTGAATATTTGTCTTTACAATACCTGTATTATACTTACACTAAATTGGAAATAATATTGTATAGTTATTATACTCAGTATAAATACAGAATAGTAAGGATAGTAAAAATAATGGAAAGCTAAAGTTTGTAATTTCTTTCTCCTGTTAAAAATAACAAAATATTGTAACTAATTTACATTTGTATTGTTTTTGTGTGTATATAAATTAGAATTTGACATTCAAAAATAAATTACCACAGAACACTCAGTTTAGCAGCACAGCTGCACAACACTAGTGCGTTATAAATAAAACATGATAATTTTAGCTATCAGCGATTTTTAACTGCTTAAACATAAAAAATATTACGATAAAAGCAATGACCTGCTGTGACCGTGAATATGATTGATGAGTTTGCCTCATGTTTATATGGACTTTATTTTTTACTAGCTGTACCCGCGACTTCGTCCGGGTGGTTTTATCTTTATTTTATAAAATAAAAGTAGCCTAAGTTCCTCTTTATTAGATCAGCTACCTGCCAAGAGATTAGCCGGAACATACAGATCGACAGACAGACAGACAAAAATTATAAAAAATATTTTTTGGTATATGTATCGTATATATATTCATACGTAGTAAAAACGGTTATTTCAATATTACAAACAAACACTCCAATTTTATTTATACGTATAGATGTATAGATATAGTTTTCTTAGAAAATTACTCATTTTACCATAATTGACAATTAATACCTACTTTCAACATTTAAATTAACCAGTATAATAATTATATTAACTTTTAATTTAAATCTGTTTTGTTGGCCCTTAATGGAGAATTATTGATTATATATATATAATCAATAATTCTCTCAATTGACGATTTTAGCCTTCGAGAATTATATTATTTTAATAATTCACAGTAACACATTCCGAACAGCATATTATTTATTATTAATTAATATACAATCAATCATATTAATAATAATAAAAGAATGTAATTAAAATCTATACATTTTGCAGGACAAGGTAGGCGCTGTGGCGTAGTGTTTATATACTCTATACTCGGATAATATATTAATGAATTTAATAAATAACTAGTACAGCAGTTTTAAGTAAAACGTCAATGATCATATTTCATCAAATATATTAATGCTATCCATTTAAATGTTTATTTAGAAAATATCGCTTGAGAATCCATCTGAATGTTCTCTTAGTATCCCTTAAACTTTGGTTTACTGAATTAATTGTATTAATTATTAATTAATTAAATAATGCCTTATTCATAACTAACAGCAGGACGTAATAGTTTTTAACGATTATTACTTAGTCACTTCTCTTGAAAAGTTTGAAGACGTGTCACGTCAGTACGTGGAATGTCATATGTTATAATTATATCGATATTTGAATATATCGATATAATTATATTAGGGTATTATTAGATTTATATTAAAGAATTTAATAAATATTTAATTGTTTGTATAATATAAGAGATGTATCCTATAGTTCTATTTTATAGGTTTTTATTTTGAAGCATTGGAATAAGAACACAGACTTTTTTCTGAATATGTCGAATCTATAATATCGATATATCGATGTTTTTCGACAAGCTACGTCATCAGCCGGTGACTGATTGACGTTTTGTGAATTTCGAGTTCATATTTGGGAATTGTATTAAATGTGTTGTACCTGAATTTCTTTACGCTTTTTTCATTTTCTCATCAGATATGTTAACAAAGTTTGAAACTAAGTCAGCCAGAGTGAAAGGTATATCATTTCATGCCAAACGACCATGGGTGCTGGCAAGTTTGCACAATGGTGTAATTCAACTATGGGACTACCGTATGTGTACATTGTTAGAGAAATTTGATGAACACGACGGTCCTGTACGTGGCATTTGCTTCCACATCCAACAGCCTTTATTTGTGTCAGGTGGAGATGATTACAAGATCAAGGTAAGTTGGGGTAAATTTTATGTGTACGATGATATGTTTATGCATGTTTTATTGGTTTTTGATACATAGGTTCGATGTCTAAGCATTCAGAATATTTCAAACGTTGTAATAAATATCCCGGAGACCCCGGAATCAATCTGCATTTCAATTTTACTTTAAATATATTGACTTTAGGCAGTTTGGGAATATATTTTTGATGACCTGGAAGCCTAATAAACATGCTTTTGCATTTCCATTACTGGTTTGGTGTTAATGTAACATTTATTGTTATTATTATAATGTTATCATACTTTATTAGAATTATATTTATATTTTACTGTATAGATATTATACATAGTGACATAAGTGTAATGTTGATAAATTTGAATACCTAGCTACTACTATTTAGAAATGAATAAATGATATTGTTAAAATATCTTTTTATATATGATAGAACATATTCATATATATATGGATTAAACAGGTAGTTTGTGTAGCTGTTTACTTATAATACCATTTAACATGTAATGTAAATATAATAGATCTGTGTATTTATATGTACTCTAAAATGAATCAACTTATTTTACATACATATTTATTTGTTTTCTTTCAGATATGGAACTATAAGCAACGACGATGTTTGTTCACATTGCTTGGGCATTTAGACTATATCCGGACAACATTTTTCCATCATGAATATCCTTGGATTTTGAGTGCTTCTGATGATCAGGTAATTTCAGATACAAATGAAGAAAAGTTATAAGTCAATGAAAAATTTATATATAATACAGAATTATTTTATAATTAATTTCCCAAACTTTGTTTCTAGTCATAGATAATTGTATGTTCATACATGTGAATGATGCCACTGATTACAATTATCATATTAATATATGTATTATGTGTTCTCTTGTTTTAGACTATTAGGATATGGAACTGGCAATCACGACAATGTATCAGTGTACTTACTGGTCACAATCACTATGTTATGTGTGCCCAATTCCATCCCACGGAAGATCTATTGGTATCTGCATCGTTGGATCAGTCTGTACGTGTTTGGGACTTCTCAGGCTTGAGGAAAAAGAGTGTAGCTCCTGGTCCCTCGGGTTTGGCTGATCATCTGAGGAATCCGCAAGCGACTGATTTATTTGGACAAGTGAGTTACATTTATTACTTAAAATATCCTGTTCATACTTAAGTACTTGTCACATTATACAATCAGAGTTGGTAATAATGACTTGCATATGTGTAATTATTTAATATTTGACATGAAAAATAGTTCTCAATTGCCATTTACTGTATAGTATTAGTTATGATGTTTATTTTAATTTTGCTGTAAACTCTGTGCTGGGTCAAAGCACCATATAGGTAACATGAAATCTTTAGAGTATATGTTTAAACATGACATGACTGGAGTCTCCATAGGACTACATTTTTTTGTCAGCTATCAATCTGGACTACAATTGAGGAAATCCCTCTTTTGGGATAAGTCTACTATTTTACCCATTTATTTTATAATCATTATATATTTAAGTCAATTGTGTCCTTTTATAACTAATCTGTACAATAAAGTATTACAGACAAAAAACAATTAACAATGTTCTTTCCAGTCACTATACTACTGGGTATATTACAGATACAACCATATTTTTCATATTAATCTTAATATTATACATCATCATAAAATGAAATAATAATATGTAATAGTACTTGTAATAAATTAATTCTATATATGGAATATACTGGTTGTATGTACAATAAAGAGAAGAGTTTAATTAATCAAGGATGTTGCTGACTATTTAGTGCTTTTTGTGCCCATTGATAAGATAAAGCTTATTATCAGCTATACCAGTTATTTTTTTGGTCATGCACTTACTATAATATTTAATTCTGAGTTATATTACATGTTTTTAATTTTAGTCTGACTGGATTGGTAAATAGCCTGTTGGTTTACCTGATGTTTGATTAATGTTCCCTATTGATAAAATATGATGATTTTTTTTTAATTAGGAGGGCTAATGTTATGACAATTTGTATATTTGTAGGCTGATGCAGTTGTAAAGCATGTGTTGGAAGGCCATGACCGTGGTGTGAATTGGGCATCTTTTCATCCTACATTGCCGCTGATTGTGTCCGCCGCTGATGATAGACAGGTTAAGCTGTGGAGGATGAATGACGCTAAGGTATGTCTAGCATTTCCCTGTCCAGCATTATTGTTATGTAATTTAAAGGCCAGCCATATAATGCATATTCTAAGAAAATAAACAACTATCTATTTTTTACCACGACGGTTTTTAGTCACGGGGAAAACGCGTGGAAAAAAACCCGTCATTATACAAATGGGTGTGGTAAAAATGCTAGCCAATGGTATGAATGGGGTTATTAGTCCACATTATTAACAATATCCTTTCCCCAGGCTTGGGAGGTTGACACCTGCCGAGGACATTATAACAACGTGTCATGCGCGTTGTTTCACGCGCGCCACGAGCTCATCCTATCCAACAGCGAGGACAAGTCCATCCGGGTATGGGACATGACCAAACGGACTTGTTTGCACACGTTCCGCAGGGAAAATGAGAGGTATGTCGACACTATGGTATTTACTTTCGTTTGCTCAGATACATTCATAGCTGAGGGTCAATGTTTATTTATATAACAAGAATGGAAAAAGCTGGCCACGGTTAACCTAACGGTAAATAGTAACCATTGCCTATATACATAAACAGCACTATGACTCCCGTTTGTGCATTGTATATTAGATGCCTTATCTCAATTAAGTACCAGTGGGAACATTTCTTACTAAGCAAGTGGCTGAAATAGTTTAGGCAAAAATGTAAACACAGACCACTTTATAAAAAGTTTAATTGTATAAAAAGTGAAGATTTATATAAATGATTAAAATATATTTCTAGATTAGATTACAATCGAATGATTATTCTCCTTAGATACTGGGTTCTTACGTCCCACCCAACTTTGAACCTCTTCGCGGCTGGCCATGACGCCGGCATGATATTATTCAAGTTACAGCGAGAGCGGCCCGCGTACGCGGTCCATAACAACATGCTGTTTTACATAAAGGACAGGTAAGAATGGTTCATGTTTAATTTAGCTGCTTTAATTTCACTCCGGCAAACTGGTGCAATGATTATATGGATATCTTATTGATAAAAAATAATAAGTTTCCCATTTTACTCCCTGATATTGTTATTTTTCTTTATCTGTAAGTGTTTGTAAAATAATTTAAGTGTTCTTGATATATTCTTATTCCAATTCATACTTTTTTATTCCAATTACAAGGGAGTTTATTATGTTTGCAGACAATTGCGAAAACTGGATATGCAGAGCAATCGCGACGCGCCTGTAATGCAGATCAAGGGTGGTGGACGTAACCAACCTTACAGGTTGGTTATAATTCTATTGTTTTAAATTTTGATCCTTATCAAAATTATTTTATTAGATTATTACTTTTATAGTGCTGGATAATAACTAATTTTCCTTTGTTTTTGATGGCTTGTGTAGCCCATGTCATCTTGATGGACCGTAGTACATGATAATAGTAGATTAATCGAAATGTCTCCTTCTATTTAAAAAAAAATATAATACATATACTACCAGTAGCTAATAATGTAACTTTCAGTGTATAGGTAAATTAATTTTTAATTTGGTTAAGTATTTGTTGTGTTTACTGTTTATGGATGGATGGATGTAAAGGAAGTAGACCGAAAAAAGATGGATGGACTGTCTGAAAGATGATATCCATAATAGGAGAGTAAGCTCAGATTTTGATAAATGAAAGAAGAGTCATCTTACTGCACAGAACTCGAATAATGGAATAAAGGCAAGGCGTTGGCAATGATGATTTAGTTTCGGACAGTGGAGATTTGACATGGTATATTGATAACAATGAGGCCACTATTACTGACAATTGCCATCTCCCTCTTTATAATAATAGTTTATGTAATGGAATGTGACATGACAGCATGTCGCTGAACCACGCGGAGTGGTGCGTGCTGGTGACTTGGCGCGTGGGGGACAGCAGCTCGTACGAGCTGTATCAGGCGCCGCGTGAGGGCCGCGAGGCTGCCGACTCTCAGCCAGAGCCCGCGCGGGCCTCCGCCACCAGCGCCGTCTGGGTTGCCAGGAACCGCTTCGCCGCGCTTGAGAAGAACAACCAGGTTTTGCTTTTTTCCCTAGTCTTTGTACAAAGTCATCTGGGTAAGTTTACTGTCATTAAGCAGCTTGGTTAGGAAGTAATGTTCCACAATGTCACTGTCTATAAAAGAGGTGTGGTTTATTGATAAAAATATATTTAATTTATGCTGAAGTAGACTTTGTTAACACTCGTCAGAGCCGTTAACCGTCAAGTAGATTTGTATACTAATTAAAATTTTAAACAGTTCCAATATGGAGTGTAAAATTACAGAATACACATGCGTGTCACATGTTATTTGTGTTTGTAGACGACAATAGTCAATTCTAGTTAATAAAAGCGTAAACCTTCCAGTCCAAGGTTTACGAAGAGTTTTGTGAGAAAACAGATTACATATCATCTGACAAATATGGCGGTGTATTCTCTATTTATCACAATATCTTTAATCTACAGCTGGTGATAAAGAACTTAAAGAATGAAGTCTCCAAAAAGATTTCGACCCCGACATGCGAGGAGATCATGTACGCAGGCACCGGAATGCTGTTGCTCCGCGAACCTGAGTGTGTTCAACTACTCGATGTGCAGCAGAAGAGGACTATTGCCAGCGTCAGTATAACTCGTCATCTTATTATTTTCTTTAAAAAGTCAAGTCTATAATATAAAATTGTTTATAATGATAGACAGGTACAGTGTAAAGTTGAAAATTGTTTTTCATTATCCCATAACGTCTTGGTTGTCAAGACCTACCAGTACAATGATATTTTCTGAAATAAAGTAATCTGTTACCATACTACATCATTACTTCTTGTTATAAACAGTTATAAAGACAATTATTATTGATTGAATAGGCTTATAGATATTTTTAAAGTAATCAAATTATATGTCTGTATTATTAAAGTACAGTTAATCTTACTCTAATAATGTATAACTAGATTATGTTATACATAGTTTTCATATAGGTTGGAAGTTAAGTCTAGTGTTCAGGTAATGTGCCTAGTTGCTAGATTTTAATCCCTACTTATTTATTTCGTATATGTTAATAGAACATTCTTCAGAAGTCCCTATTATATAGTTCTTCATTCTACAGGTGAAAGTAGCAAAATGCCGCTACGCCATTTGGAATTCAGACATGTCTCTAGTGGCTTTGCTCGGCAAACACACAGTCACCCTGTGTACCAAGAAGTTGGAACAGCTGTGCAGCATTACAGAAGGTGCCAGAGTCAAGTCTGGTGCGTTTGATGACTCCACGCCCCAGCCAGTGTTCATATACACCACAACTAATCATATCAAATACTGCTGTAAGGATGGGTAAGTGTTGACTACATAATAACCAAGAGTAATTTTTATGAGGTTGTTACTGCAATGAAATTCCTTGTGAATGATAGATTTGTGGACTGTATATTGAAAATGAATCAAACAACAATAAAAAATGGTAAATAACTTATATTATGGGCGCAGAGAGTGATAATATATATGAAATTTCCTGTAAAAAAAGAATAGAACAGAAAATATGTAAAAGTTTGCAAAGAGTTAGCACCAGCATTACTATGTTATAGTTTATATTTTATTGATTTAGATGTTATTTTACTGAAGGCCATATCATTGCTTAATGGCTTTATATTGTTTTGTTTTATTCCACTACCATTAGCATATGTGTGACCACAAATAATCAGTAGGGAAACCTGACTAGTCGCAGTGGTCAAGTTCCCGAACTGAATATTTTTGATATAGTAATTTTTATAGTTTATTACTAGTAACTCGAAATTGACAAAAAAAGTGTTGTAATATCAGTGTCAAGTGGTGTAATATCGCATATCAGTGTTGCTAACAACATTTACATAATCATATCACAATATTGTAGAATTGAACTTCCACTGCATTTGATTAAATAATAAAGCATAAGCCTATTGTTATTGCAGCGACTACGGTATAATCCGCACACTGGACGTGCCCGTGTACGCGGTGAAGGTGGTGGCCTCTGACACCGGCGCTAGAGTGGTTTGTCTCGACCGGGAATGCCGACCGAAAGTGCTCAGTATCGATCCTACCGAGTACAGGTATGACATGACGCTGCCGTTTGTATATTTCTTGTTAGTTATTTCTGTTTATTACTTATCTAACTAATATTTGGTGTCGTTACAACTGTCAAATGTAAATAATTAATAATTGTAATTTTGTATATGAAAATTAAATATATCATAAAAATTATTGCAACTGAACTGTTTATACCGTATACTTGTATGTATCTTGATTAAAATAATGTAATATTTGTTTAATTAGTGTTTAAACAAATTAATGAAAATAAATAACAATTTCTACATGTAATTTTTAGAAGACCTACTGATTTAATTTCGTGTCTGTAGGTTTAAGCTGGCCTTGGTGACTCGTCAGTACGACCAGGTACTTCACATGGTGCGAACTGCCAAGCTCGTCGGCCAAAGTATCATCGCATACCTCCAGGAAAAAGGTACTATTGCACTAGAGTTATCAACTACTACTACTATTCTACTATATAATGTGTTATCAATATGAGAATGAAATTAAGACCTTGTATTTATAGAGAAATATAAAAACCTCCTGTATTTTTTTTTATTTGTTTTTTTGTTATTTGTTGAAAAAAATTAACTAATTCTCATATGGCCTATTGATTTAATCATTTATGTTTACACAAAAAAAATAGTCTGTGACATGTTGTCGCCAAACTCATGATTTGTTCTGTACTCCATTATTATTATGTTCAAATTTCTTACCAGGCTATCCAGAAGTTGCTTTGCACTTTGTAAAAGACTCCCGTACGAGGCTCTCCCTAGCGTTGCAATGTGGCAACATCGAGGTTGCACTAGAAGCTGCCAAGAGTCTTGACGAACCGGACGCCTGGGATAAACTCGCTAATGCGGCCCTAGCGACTGGTAACCATCAAGTAAGTATTAAGTTTTAATTAATATGTTATAAGAAAAATGATTATTTTGTACATAAAAAAGTTTTATGAAATACAAAACAATCTGAATATTTTTAACTTATTTCAGAATTTTTCCACTATTTCAAATAAATCAATAGATGAAAATATATAATTAAACTCAAACAAAGAATTTGCTTTGTAAATTGCAGATACCTTCGCTATTTAGTGTTGAAATTTATCATTTCCTTTAACATTTTCACTGCGTAATATCTAGTAAATCATATCAAATAATATAGAATAACGTTTTTATCGAACTATCTGATAATTTTATTGCTTTTTTTCAGATCGTGGAGATGTGTTACCAACGTACCAAGAACTTTGACAAGCTCTCGTTCTTGTATTTAATCACGGGCAATTTAGAGAAGCTGCGCAAAATGATGAAGATTGCAGAGATACGTAAAGATGTCTCTGCACAGTTTCAGGGTGCATTGTTACTTGGTGATGTAAAAGAGAGAATAAGACTTTTGAGAAATGCTGGACAGGTATTATATGTACAAAATACTGTTTGTTTTTTGAGATGAAATATAGCCTAACTCTAGTAATAGATATCCATTCTCATGGTATAATCTATATATGTAAAATTTTAGTAAGATCTATTGTTGTTTACTCGTGAAAGTGCAACATACAAACAGGCAGGCAGACACATTTTCATATTAATACTATTAATTATAAATTTATCACCATTTACTATTTTTATATACTGATATATATTATAGATGATTTGAGAAATGCACTCAGCAACGATTATTTGTTATTAATAAAAATCAGATTAGTTGAGAAGTCCATTAAACAGCTCAATTGAGATTTTAGTCTAGTAACATTCATCTTAATGTTAATTCATGTTAATTATTTGCAAAACCTTTTTTACCAAATTGTCAAAATAACTACTGAACAAAAAAGGTAATCTATATATTTTGTTGCAGCTATCTCTAGCATATCTAACTGCTATTAACCATAAACAAGTGGAAGAAGCCGAGCAGTTAAAGGTGGCACTAGAGGCAGCAGGTTTGGCTGTGCCTGCGGGTCCGGCTGATGATGGGAAGGGGGTGATCTTGCGCCCTCCGCTACCTGTGCACGGAGCTCATCATAACTGGCCGCTACTAGCAGTCTCCAAGTGAGTATCTTAATAATGCACATCTTCTTTTCTCTTCATGGAATGAATATCTATTAACTCCCGTCACACAAAGAGGGTTTAATTTGACATGTCTGTTTGTTCTATAAGCTGTGCTGCTAAACGAATGGAACAATTGTAATATATTTTTTTGCTTAAAAGCTGACGCGATCGACTTTTTTCTTAACTAAAATTTATTAGTGGTATTTTTTTCATTCGGGGTTTGTTTTTTTTTAAATATTGTCTGTTACTATCTGCAGAACATATATGTAAACAGTCATCTCATTTGCTTAATAGCGTATTTGTATAAAATATAGTATTACACCATAACATATACAAACGTCACACGGCCAATCGGCAGCCAGTCTTGTAAATGTAATAATATATGAGAATGGAACGGAACCTATACTAGGAAGAAGGGATCGCCATACGCTGAGTCAGCAGTCAGGTTTGTAAATATAGTAATATAAGAGTGGAACCGTATCTGTGCTATGAAAACCTGTGTTCAGTTTTCTGCTCCCACCCTCGGCTTGTGAGTAATCAGACAGTTAAAGAAATTTAGATTAGCCAACAAAGAAAGATGTGTGCGTGCGTGTGTGCGTGTGTGCGTGCGTGCGTGCGTGCGTAGTGCGTGAGTTTGTGTGTGTTCAGTGTAGCGTGTACGGGACGTTATTTTCCAGGAGCTTCTTCGAAGTGGCGGGTGGAGCCCGCGCCGGGGCGGAGGCCGGCGGCGCGGTGGCGGCCGCGGCGGCCGGGGACGAGCCGCTCGAGGCCGCCGGCGCCTGGGGCGACGACGACGACGTGCTCGACGACAAGGTACGCCACCACGGTATATCACTACCGTTATAAATGCGAAAGTAACTCTATCTCTCTGTCTCGCTTTCACACCGAAACTACTGAACCGATTTAAATGCAAAAAAACGCAGATAGTCTAGACCCCGAGAAAGGACTCCGCTTTTTAATGCGAAAAAATGGTAGTAAGAGACTGAAAGGTTGTATGGAAGTATCGTCGTTTTTAAAGCTAGAATCTTGAAACTTATTTTTTGGGCTGTCGATTACATATAATATATAAAATTAACAGATTGTAAAAAAATACCCTTAAGAAGACAAAATAAAATAGGGAATGAATTCTTGTATGGAAATTCGTAATTTATGAAGCTAAACTGGTGAAACATATTTATTTCGTTTTTGGGTTAGATTATTAAATATTTTATGTTATACATGGCAAGCATTCCACGCGAACGAAGAGCGAGCACAGCTAGTATGCTATATACGGCATCAATGGTCTAGCGGTTTACTTCTTCCGATTACAACTTATTTCATTTATATTTTGAGCAATTATGATAGTTGTTGAGTTTTTATTATTGTTTATAATGTACGTAATAACATAAATATCATTGGTACTAAGAATAATATAGAATAGAATTTTACTAATTCGTCTTGACACAGCGATAATGATATAAAAATACAAATGTTGCGAGGTAATAATACAATGTCGGTTGAGACGACGTATATTACGATAATAGACTGACAAAATGTACATAAAAATATTGATCTTATATACTAAAGAACAACAGTAAAATGTAAGGTGGGCGAGACACTTTGGACATGGTAGTAGTTAGTAGACAATATTTAATTGGTCTTACTTGATTAATGGCAAGTGTTAGGTTGATGTATCTAGGTAACTGTCTCATGCAAACAACAATTTACAGACATTACAAAGCAGAGTCAATGTGGATGGTCCACATAGACTCTGTTTTGTAATCGGTGTAATGCTGGAGACATAGTTTCCAGCGCTGATTTTCAATTGGGCCCTAATAATAATAATATGGATATACAGGATGTGTTGGAAGGCGAAGATGTGGTTCCGGAAGGCGGATCAGACGGTGGTTGGGACGTCGGTGACGAGGATCTGGAACTGCCAGAGGAACTTGCACCCGTTTCTGGTTTGTGTCTATATCATTTTCAATTTTTTATATGGTTGGAATGGTAATGACTAATGGAGATTGAAATTATATCCCATTTATTTATTTATATAACATCAATTCACATTATGCATATAATACAAAGTACATATAGAGCACTTAACACCATGCGAAATTATCTATCAGATAACCATCGGTGGTGCATAGAATAATTCGTAGTGCAAATATAAGATATAATAGACAATACATATAGTAGAGATATATATGATCAAATAGCTACATACATAAGTATACATAAATACTAATAATCTGACAATAAGTTATCTATGGTCTATGCCATGTAGTAAGGTGTTGTTTTGTAACTCTCATTCAAACAAAAGTAATGAATTGTAGATGATTACCATCTAGATGAAGTCACCTATGAAAATAGAATGCATCAAACTTATGACAATCGTGCATTCATTTGGGGTTAAAAAAAATGGTGATTGGTATTCAGTTTACTTGATGAATACAGATTATTTCTATTCGATTCTTTCATCGTTTAGATCCACTCCACCAATCTACGCTATGTGTATATAACGCAATGCAATTAGAGTAGGTAGTATAATCATTCCTTCATTAATTAAAGTATAAATAAATATAACTGAATCTGTGTTCGGCAGCGGACATAGACGGCGGTGATGAGACGGCGTACTTCGTGGCTCCGACTCGAGGCTCTGCGGCCGCACTGTCTCCGCGCTTGCGAACCGCACACGACCACATTGCCACCGGACAGTTCGAGATCGCATTCAGGTATCGTTCATTTGTTCCATCTAGTTACCGAGTTACATGTATACTTGTAAATGATTGATAATAATTTGTACGTTGCTATTTTTGATGGCAAAATGTTTATTTATGTAAGATCTATTGAGAGGAATTGAATAATATTATATAAAAAATATAATATATGTTTCTAGTTAGTTCTTCTTAATTGAAGTAGCTGGCCGAAATGGACGCTAGAGACAGTGTCAAAAATTATAGCATACATAAGCGACCAAATGTTTTGTTCATATTTTCTAAAACAGAATTGGTTATTGATATTTTTTTTGCGTTCTCATACGTAAGTATTAGCTCCTGTTATATTATGAACGTTTATAGAAGCAACTTCTATAAACGTTCATAATATTTATTTTAGGTGCCTGAAATTAATTAATTAAATAAAAACATTTTATAGCAACATGGATATCACGTTACCCGCGATATAACTTATGCGTTGCCATTCTATAGGACTAAGATGATATCCTGTAATTTCACTGCCTAATCTGCAGCTTACAGAGCAAGCTGCTTAGCGTTTAAAAATAGAAAATGAGGTACCCACGAAGACGACTTTTTACAGTAGGCCTCTAATTATATAACAGCAATAAAAATAAATTTCTTACGTTTATAGATATCTCTAATATGGAAGTAGTAACAATAATGTGGATTCGTTTATAGATTGCTCAATGAGCAAGTGGGCATCGTGAACTTCACTCCGTACACCGAGCAGTTCTTGAACATGTTCGGCGCGGCGCGGATGTGGTACGGCGGACTGACGAGCGTCCCGCCGTTGCCCGCGCTTCTACATCGCAACTGGAAGGAGGCCAGCGGGAAGGATCTATTGCCAGTGCTCAGTCAGTTATCTCTAATCAATTATAAATATACTGACGATTAGTCCCGGCATTACACGGCTGGAATTTTAGTAGACCTGTCCAATATTTTTGAAAGTCACTCGATTATAGTAGGTGCCTTTCTATGGATAAAAAGTAAGACATCTAGCCCACTCGCGCAACTTCGTCCTCATCACACTTACTTGAAATTTATCATTATATTTAGCTTAATTTATATAATATGTTTTTAAATTATAGACTATGTGTTATTGTGATGTGTAAGCTATATTACTGTTAAGTTTTATAAAAATGCGTTCAGTGGTTTTTGCGTGACAGAGTAACATCCATCATACTCACAAACTTTTGTGTTTCTATTATTAGTATGTATTAAAAATAGGTTATATATAGATTTTTAACTATATACTTAAAAAAAATCTTTTTGATATATTAGTTTAAATCAGTTTTTATCAGTAATTTCTTTGTCTTAGTAACTGGGGATGAAGTAACTAAGATAAACAAAGCCTATATTCTTCTCCATTCTAAATACAACAGGTATTTTAAAAAATTCAATGCATTAAAAATTCCACAATATTGGTAAAATCTCTTAATGCAGTAACCAAAATTCCACAATATTGGTACCACAAATTACATTACCGGACTCGTCAGATGTCTTATGTAAAGTTCGTGCTTCATATAACTACTTTTATCCATTCATACGAATCATGAGGTCACGTGACTGATATTTGCAATGAAATCTAAAAAGCTTATCGCTTTATAAAGCGTTTGTATAATATTCCAATAATGTGTAAAAAAAAAATTACAGCTGCGAAACTGAACGACTTAGTGACACTGTTGCAACAATGCTACCAGCTAACCACCGCCGGCAAGTTCACTGACGCCATCGAGCGGCTGCAGCGCGTCGCCCAGAGCGTGCCACTACTACACGTCGATACCAAAACTGAGCTGACTGAAGCGCAACAACTGCTTAATATATGTAAAGAGTATCTGCTCGGTCTTCAAATGGAAACTGCTAGAAAAGGTAAATGGAATAGACACTTGATAGAGCATCATTTTTCAATAACATTTTTGTTATACCCATTGTACATTATGTATGAATCATGTTTTAAAATGACGTATATTCTATATATCAGTCTAAAGTTTTCGTTTATCGAATGAATTATCGATGCTTTTTTAATAAGAAATGTAAATAGAATTACATTTAATACTAAAATACTAAAATTACACTATGCAATTAATTTAAGAATTTATGATATTCTGAGGACCAATCTTCAAGCATATGTATGTAGCTATTGTAGCGATTTCGGGTTATACTAGTAACGCCAGTACTATTCTTGCCAATAATCTTCTACTACTTTTCTTTACTACTACTTTTATTAAAGAATCTTGTTATTTAAAATTTCCAGTATATTAAAAAATAATTAATTCTTTCTTTTACAGCTATGCCTAAAAACACACTAGACGAACAGAAACGGACATGCGAAATGGCGGCATACTTCACACACTGCAAACTGCAACCTGTGCACCAGATACTGACCCTGCGGACGGCCCTTAACATGTTCTTCAAGCTGAAAAACTTCCGCACGGCAGCATCCTTCGCTAGACGACTCCTAGAACTAGGTCCTCGGCCCGAAGTCGCTCAGCAAGCCAGAAAAATACTTCAAGCATGCGAGAAAACACCTACAGACGAACACCAACTGTTGTATGATGAACATAATCCATTTACAATCTGTGGCATCAGTTATAAGCCTATATATAGAGGAAAGCCTGAAGAAAAGTGCCCATTGTGCGGTGCTAGTTACTTGCCAGAACATAAGGGTAAACTCTGCCAAGTTTGTGGTGTGGCAGAGATAGGGAAAGACGTGTTAGGACTCAGAATCTGTCCATTACAGTTCCAGAGATAAATTTAACTATGTAATTATTATGATTTTTATTGATTATGAAATTATTATGTAAGAGCTAATATAATATAGAATAAAGTTGTATCACAGTTTATTAGATTTTTATTACATTCATAATTTCTTATTTACATTATAGTATAATTGTTTAAGTTAAATAATATAAATGTTAACAATAAAATCAGACATCAGCTGGTTTATCTTCTTTTGTTCTGAAAAGAATAAAATAAATATGAAATTTCGTTGGAACTGAGTAGTGACTGTCTCATATTAAAGTGGCTGGTTATTTATATTGTTTTAAAGAAGATAGTTATAGTTTTAAACATTTTATATAAATATATATAACAGATTGATTGTCATTCAATCTGTAACAGCCCTATGATGCCATAGGGCTGTAACTGTAGCTTTTCGCCTTTTTAATCTAGTAGGAATGACAATCAGTCTGACTACCCATCTGGTAGTCGGTAACTCATAAAACACAACGCCATGACGTTATCATATGGCGCACGTAGTACATCTCTAATAGGTTCCCATTGCATATCTATATAACTGCCAGATTTGTCCACCTTCAATCAATCCCCCGTCGAATTCAAACTGGGATCGAAATTACAACGGCCCGAGTCAAGGTTCAGGCCAAGGTTTAGGCCAGTTCGAACCTTTAGGATCTAAGTTGGAATATTAAACTGGATAACATGTTTATATTTTTGGGGGAAATTGAATGCCAGCCAGAAGATTGTTCATTTTACCAATTATTAATTTGATCATATAATATAAATAAGCAAGCTAATTGGCGGAAAAACCAGAGAGTATTTGGCATACGATTTTGTACAAAATACATACGTAACCACCTCACCTGTTGTTGAGCATGTCTTGAATCTCGTCGAAGGTCTTGCCTTTGGTCTCGGGTAGCAGTGTTGCAGAAAATATAAACCCGATGCCACAGCACACCGCCAGGATCCAGAAAGCCGTGTAAATGCCATAAGAAGCAGCCACATCGCGAAAAAATCTATTGGTTAATACCAATTTTATAAGGTGATTTAGATACGTGTCATTTAGTTACGACACGTCAGCCTTTTTCGTATTTGCAATATATCATAATTTTATGAACATCTATTTTATACACAGTTTGTGTAGTTATACCTATGTATGTATATCTATGTGTAGTATGTATGGTTAGGCTATGTACCTATTACGTTATTAAATTAGGAAATTTTAGACTACAGCACTGACTAACACTGCAGCCTCAGATCTATTGTGTTTAGTTTAATTAGATATAATAATATTAAGATCTTTCACGTGGAAATGTTTCAATTTTACATACCCATTGATAATTTTTGATCAAAGCGCGCCAATTTTGAGTCATTAATACATCAGAGCAATTCAATACATCTGGTGAATATCAATTATGTAGTTATTTTTTTTGCTGATTATCTTGTTATAAAAGTAGAACTAACAAAACATTTAAACACAGTCTCTGAGTACTTTCGAAATCTACAGGTAAGTACCTACTAGGGTTCATTCCCGGGAATTCTCGGTTCGAGAATTCCCGGGAAATTCATGGGTTTTGTTCCCGGGAAATCAAGCTCGAGAAAAGTCGAGAACTCGAGAAATCATGTACCTATATAGAAATTGCCCTTTGTTTTGTTGCGTGGCGGCGCAATAATTTAAGATATTAACGTTTTTGTTTTCTTTCATGTTATTTTTTTATTTTGTAGAAACTATTTTTGTTTACGTTGTTTCTACGTGTTTGTACGTGTTTTCTAAATAAGCAGCCAAAAATGGTGCTGTCTTTATAAATATAAGTCTGAATAATTAGGTCCTAAAAAATTTAAATTGGCGTTTTGTAAGGAAATAACCTGAAGTATTTATTTTCAAAATATAATATATTTATTTAATCAAACCATTTCTATTTATGCATTTTTGCCTTTTGTTTTTGCACTTTGGACTGCCCCATCGGAGTTAAATTTTTTCCCTTGCAAGAAGTTATGCAAATTTCGAAATAAATGGTAATTTTTCCAATTGAAACTCTTCTAATTTGGTAACTGTCTGTTGTGCAGTATGTGGTCAAGCGTTCTTGGCGATTGACCAGCCTCGGTTGTTTAGCAGCTAGCTTTTCCATCATGGTTTCTCAATTGCTGACAATACACATTTGCCGTAATCGTCTGGCCAGATGAACAACACCGGAAATAGTCCACCAAACGTTCACAAGTAACATTTTTTGAGCCAATTTTCGCTTGGGGCAGGATTTGGTTGGTTCGCCAGGGTTTAGCCATTGCAATGAGCGTTTCCGATTATCGTACAAAATGCACTTTCCATTACAGGAAATGATTTGATTTAATATCCCTTCATTATTATGCCGGTTGATTAATGTAACGCAGCAGGCTACGCGCGTTTGTCGATTTACTCCATTGAATTCATGAGGGACCCACTTTTTCACCTTCCCAATTTGCTAAAGGATTAAAACAGTTTTGTCACTAACACCGCAGCCTGCAGCTAACTCGGACGGGTTTGCGATGGATGCGCTTCCACAATAGTCTTCAATTCTTCATTATCAACCTTGGATTCCGGCCGCCCACAGAGATTGCTTTGCAGGTCGAAATTTCCAGAACGAAAACGTTGGAACCAAAAATGAACGTATTTTCTTTTGCGAGACCACTGCCATACACATCATTAATACTTCGAGCTGTTTAGCACCGTGTAGCACTGGTAGCACTGGTGCCACAGCGGAACTCGTACTCAACTCTTACTCAACTCGTACTACAAAGTTTTTCATTTTGGATGCTGTGAGTGACCCAAAGTGAATAGCTGTATAAATTTGGATATGGAATTCCTAACCAAAGAGGAGATATTTAAGATCAAAGTGGCCAGTACGACAAAACGCCAATTTCATATGTAAGGACATAATATTATTTCTCTATTAAAAAAAAAAAAATCATATTATTAATGTTTTTAAATATACTCAATAAAAGTTTAATTTGATACTTTTATTTGAGAGGAAAACCACTGAATTTTTTGACGTTATTGGATCCAAATATAAATGTAAATTTCTCGACAACCCGAGAAGACCCGAGAAATTGACCTCGAGAATTCTCGAGACCCGAGAAATTGAAGAGCTCGAGAAATCATGAACCCTAGTACCTACTATCATATGTTCTTACCTAGTCCATATAAATCCTGCAAGCCAGCACATGAATGAGGCGATACCGCTGGCCAGGCACTTTGTTTTGACCGGGAACATCTCCGCAACCAGGATCCATGGCACCGGACCTACGCCTGCAATTAACTCTTAATAAGGTACCTAATTACCGTGGTTTTTATATATAATGATGTCATATAACATTTTAGATTACGTACTACAATATACCTACATATATTTATTCTGATAACAGTAACGGGAAAGTTTTAATCACAGCTTGTACACTGGTAATAGTTGTATAAAATGTCGCGTATATGAACACATCCACTGATGTGGTATCACGATACCACATCAGATCAAGCGTTGCTATTCCAGAGAACTAAGATTTCATTTCTTTTATCATTGCTGCTTGGTCGCTGAAATTATTAATTCATAATATCTATTGGAAAATAACTTAAAAGATACACAAACATTGAATTTTACATATGTTCGTGACAATAATAATAATAATAATAATCTCAGGACAATTCACACAGAGCCATCTAGACCCAAGTTAAGCTAGCTAGAGCTTGTGTTATGGGTACTAGATAACTGATACATATAGATAGATATTTTTTTTTGTAAATACATACATAGAAAACACCCAGACCGATACAAACAATCATACTCATGAATACATAATGTTTGTGCCGAAGACAAAAACTTATAATTCGTTCTTACCTAACGTGAAGAACACCATGTATACGATGAGGCATAACAGTGGCAAGAAGGCGACGGAACTGACGTCGTACTTGTAGTATGAGTCAATCAGTGCGTACACACCAATTAGGGCCTGAACAATATAGGTTAATATTTATACAACATGGAAAAATAAAGAAATAAACAAAGCCGAATAATAATTGTGGCACGAAAGTTCTATCAAAGTATTAATTAGAGAATTTTAATAATGATCCTTGTCAAATAGTCTATATGAAATGATAAGTTACGATCCCAGTATGGTATTGAAAGACTGAAAGAGTCGCTAATTAATATTATTAAAGACAGTATTCTACTCGTACCCCTGCGATCGATACTCTATTGCGACGGTTTACGCCTACGAGCTGAGATTCGAACCTCTTAGCCCGTGCCGTCATACTAATTCTATCTATCAAGCAGGAGTTCGCCTTTAACCGCTCTAATAATTTTCTCCGGATGTTTATTGCCCCCTGCACTAGCACTCCTCTTATGTCCAATCTTCAGAATAGTTGAATTAATAGTAGAAAAAATTTTTAGTAGTAAATGAATAATTTACCAAGAAAATTGTAAGTCCCAGCGAGGTGGTCCACATGAGCAATTTCCTGCCAAGTCTATCTACCACCAACGGTGTAATGCAGCTTGTTACGACCTAAAATAATTAATTCTCTAAAATAAAATGTATGTTTGTTTGACATCATTGTTGATATTTTAAATTTCGCACATATAGATACTTATATGTCTAGAACCGTTTAGATTAATATAGTCTGTACGCGTTACTAAAATTAGTTGATATCTAATATGGAGCAGTGGTGAGTACTCTGGAACAGCTCCCTTGATCACTTCGTGTGTAGGAAATCAGAACCGATTTTCCTTAGTATGGCCACCGGCACACCACCTGTGCTCCAATATTGCCCCTGTGTACTAAAATATTTTTATAAAAAATATTTGATGCATTTTTATAAGTTGCAGGAACATCATTTGCGTAGCCCGCTATATAAAGTCCATACATTACAATTAAGTACATAATTACCTGCACGACTCCCATAATTATGGTACCATCAGAGGCAGACATCTTTGTACCAACTTTCACTAATAGCTCTTCCATGTAGAAAAGCAGGACATCAATACCTGATAGCTGCAACAACATTGCTAGGAATACGCATATACCTGTCGCAAAGTAAAATTATAATAATAGTTATTTATTGCAATAATTACTGTCACTGAAATTTCGTTCTTCTTAGATTCTTATGAGGCTTACCCAAATACATTTATTTTTGTAAACTAAGTTTGTCCTGTATAGTAAGCCAATGTGCTAATTTCTCACAATATTTTTTATTATTATCGAGCACAACTGTGTACCAGAAAAAGTTGTTCAGTTCCTCATATTCGAAAGCACAGTTCGTCATATATTACTACAACCTTATGCGTAGCCAACACATTATTTTTTGATATTTATGATAATGTTTGCATGCAAGCATAAAATAGAATAAAATTATAAATTACTCTGGTGCGCATGGGCTCACTAAATAACATGATTCGAAGAACCGAGAATCGATGCATAGGAAAGGAATTCCAGTACTACATCGTAGTAGACTCAGAGTAAATCGATTATGACGACCTCAAATGTTTAATGACTGAGACCAATCTATGGAAAAAAATAAGACGAGAAAGTACCTACCTATGATATGTTATCACATCTTTAGTAAGTTTTACAATATCTATTGGTATATCGAAATATCTACTTACCTAAAGCTTTGATATTTCCTCTAGAGGCCCAAAGATCTTTGATACGTGGCTCCTCTTTGAATTCTCTAGCCACCATAGCCTCCAGACCTTCAAGCTCTGGTTGTACCGCCTCTTTAGTAGCGCGGCGTAGACTTTGTAGCACTTTAGAGGCCTCATCCTTACGACCTGTACAGTTATGAACTAAATTAGAGAAATGTATAAATATATTATAAGTAAAATAAATATTAAATATTTATAAAAGTTGTTTAATGTCCGATTTTTTTAAAGCACTACAATTAATATTAGAATCTAGACACGCGGTAGCGTGTCAAGCCGAGTTTCAAGTAAGAGAACTGGCGAGCAGCACCGTGTGTATATTACACGAACCATTTGGAGCCACTTTTGACCACCTCATAACTCAAAAACTCTTTCACATAAACCTGTCAAATTTGCTTCATATATTGAGACTTGCGAGATAAATATGTGCTCCAAATTTCATAAACATACATATCTCAAACGGTTATTTAGATATTAACATCCAAATATCGTCATTTTTATCACTGATCAACTATAGATCAAAATTATAACCCACTTCCAGATGACCTAGGAAGTTCAAATTTGGCATGCAAATAGGTAATTAGGTGAATATAAAGGAAAAAATCTGAAACTGGTAAATTGTTATCATTTTATTATAATTTTTCACTTTAATTGATTCTATTTCAACTTATATTGGACGAATACTAAAATTCTATGAAAACGTCGATAGCCACCAATGAACATTGATCCCTGGCAAAAATAGCTCATCTTGTACTGGACGTAAGTAATATTGTATGAAAACGTCGATCTTTACCAATTTACGTTAGCCCCTTCACATCAGTGTGGATAACTAGCAAACTTTAAATATTACACAAGTTGCTATAATTTAGATTCTGTCTAAAATATACTCGTACTTATAACTAAGAGTATAGTCGAAATATCATATACCCCGAAAACATACGAAAATACAGTAGTTTATCAAAAATAATTTGGTATTAATTTAGTTATAAATAAGTACCTCGTATAATTTATGTACAAAAAGTAATGATATCCCATCAAAAACATAAATATGAAATGATAGCAGAGTTTAATATTATGATATATGCCTTGATTGTTGACTTCTACGACAAAAGAGGTGAGATCTAAATGGGTGCCAAGTTCAATGGTCTGTCCTGAAATGTATTTATAACAATATAAAATATCATTTCTTCTTATAACTTAGGATACTATATTGTAGCCTAAGGTCTAACTCGGCTAGTTTTCATATACGAAATATACTGTAGCCTTCGCAAGTTCTAAACATTTACAACATTTACAACAAGGCCAACACATCACAACTTTAGCACGGATGATACGTGGTTGGACATCATCTGCACATCCTCAACCGATCATGTTATCGAGTATGATCAGTACAGCGCTCCAGCATTTTCACGTCACGACCTTCTACTCCTAACTTATAAAATCAAGCCTGTTAAGCCAAAGCCAGTCATCGTCAACGTGCGTAATTTCAACAGAATTGATAGAACATACTTTGTCAGGACGCTACACTTATTGATTGGAAGCCGCTGTATGACACTGCGGATATTAACGACAAAGTATCTGTGTTTAATGCACAGATCTTATGTTTGTTTGACAAACATGCCCCAGTTCGTAAGGTAAAACTGCGTCGTCCGCCTGCTCCGTGGATTACAGATGATGTCCGTAAGGCTATGATGAAGAGAGACAGAGCTTTTCGCACTTATAAAAAGGAGAGAAGTGCTATTAACTTTCAGCTGTTCAAACGGGCTAGAAATCGTCGCAATCAGGTGGTAAGAGCTGCAAAACGCCGACATATTCATAAAAATATTTTAAATTCACCTTCAGCAGACGTATGGAAATTCCTCAATTCCCTTGGTTTTGGGAAAGCCCCAACCATCGATTTAACAGTGCCATTAAATAATCTTAATAATCACTTCTCCTCTGTAACAACTCTCAATACAAGTATTAAACAATCCACCTTACAGGAAATTAAATCCATGCCTGCACTCGCTTCTGACTCGTTCACATTTTCTCCAGTATCTGACGACGATATACGCAAAGCAGTCCTATCCATTAAATCAAATGCCAAGGGCTATGATGAAGTGAGTAGAGCTATGGTCTTTCTTCTATTAGATATAATTCTTCCTGTTCTTACTCACATTGTTAATTTCTCGCTATCCTACGGCTGTTTTCCCAAATTGTGGCTAAAGGCATTTGTTATACCCCTAGCTAAAATCTCAAATCCTTCTCTTCCTTGTCATTTTAGACCTATATCGATCTTGCCATTTCTCTCAAAAGTCCTCGAGGTTATTACTCATAAGCAAGTTTCCTCTTTTATTGCAAATTCCAATATTCTGAGTCCTTTCCAATCTGGTTTTCGACCTGGACACAGCACCACCACTGCATTACTCAATGTAACGGAAGATTTTCGTGAGGCTATGGAGAACACTCGACTTACCATCTTGGTACTAATTGACTTCTCCAATGCCTTTAATTGTGTTGATCATGACCTGCTACTGATGTTACTCTCCCACCTAAACTTCTCGCCGTCAGTACTGGAATGGTTTTCTTCCTATCTTCGTGGTCGCCAGCAGGCTGTGCGCTCCGGGCAAGACTTATCTAACTGGTGTGACTTGGTCGCTGGTGTTCCACAAGGCGGTATTCTCTCTCCACTTCTGTTTTCTCTTTTTATTAATCTTGTTATCTCACACCTCAAATGCTCTTACCACCTCTACGCAGATGACCTACAACTTTATGCCCAAGCTGAACCTAATGCCATCAATGCAGCAGTTGATCAACTAAATGCAGATCTCGACAGTGTATCCCGTTGGTCCCGTCGTTTTGGCATATCAGTTAACCCAGTCAAATGCCAGGCGATAATAATAGGCAGCACAAAACTTCTATCCAAGTTAAATACAATCAATTCGTATGTGCGTTTTGAAAATAATGTTATCCCGTTTTGTCACTCCGTTAAGGACCTAGGTATATTGATTGACCCAACACTTCGATGGCATTTACAGGTAGCGGAGGTATCTCGCAGGGTTACAGGTATTCTCCGTGTTCTTTATCGGTTTAAATTCTTTCTCCCACCTTCCACTAAATTGCTCCTTGTCCAATCACTTATACTTCCGCATTTTGATTATGCTGACGTGTGTCTTACTAATCTCTCCCAAGATCAGTTGAATAAGTTGGACCGATTACTTAACAACTGTATTCGGTTCATTTTTGGGCTGAGAAAGTATGACCACGTCTCTAAATTTCGCTCACAACTTAAATGGTTGTCAATTCGTAACCGCAGAAACTTGCGTATCCTTTGCACACTCTTCTCCATCATATTCGACTTTTCCTCTCCCACTTATTTGAAAAATAGATTTCGGTTCATTGGCGACTCTCATTCACGTAACCTCCGTTCAGTTCATAACCTCCTTCTCTCTACTCCTTCCCATCATACAAGCTTTATGTCAAACTCCTTCACAGTTACGGCAATTAACCTCTGGAATATAATGCCTGTAGACCTGCGTAGAGCACCGAGTAAGACCATTTTTAAAACGAAACTATTTAATTACCTGTTGAGTCGTCAAAATGAGCTTTAACTGTTTGGCGTTGAGTTAAGTAGGTACTTTCAACTATATTTAGCGTATTTATGTATTTATTCTGTATAATTTATATATTTCAATATATATATATATATATGTATGTTTAAAGTATATATTATATTTATATAACATAAATTATATATGTACATAGATTTTGTTTGCCTAATTATTTAGTACAGTATTAATATCACAAATTTTTGCCATTACTGCCCTACAACGCTTTCTAGTTCTACCCAAAGGTTAGCTGGTAGAGAATGCCATATGGCATTAAGCTCGCCTCTTGTACACTCTTTATAGTGCAATAAAGAATAAAAAAAAAAAACAGTTACTTGTCGGTTCCTATTTTATTATTAGTAGTAACTAGCAATCGAAAGTAATAATTGGTATATGAGAACTGGCCAAGTCAGACCTTAGGCTACAGTATATTATCCTAAGTTATAAGAAGAAATGATATTTTATATTGTCTTTTGTCGTAGAAGTCAACAATCAAGGCATATATTATAATATTAAACTCGGCTATCATTTCACATTTATGTTTTTGATGGGATATATGTTAACTGCAAGGTAAATTTTCAAAAGGTCGACTCAAGTAGTGAAAGTACCTTAAATATTAATGAACTAGAATTAGTGATAGTAACTTCAATTTAGAAGATTAGAAGATGTTTTTTATAGTAACAATGACGGCTGGAAGCCTTTTGCCTATAGACATGGTCATAGATATTACGAAATGTACCAACTCTATGAGACATCCGTTGGTATTCCTCATGAGTCGTCATTCTTAAAGAGTCAGATGTTGTAATATCTCCTTAGTCGGCAATAAGCACTCTATATATATTAAACATAATAAGTATATCATAATTTCACTTGAAATTTAAAATTAATCTCAACTTTTTAAACCTATGAAAAGGTTTTGTAATATTTAATATCTACCTTTGTAAATCAAGAAGAAAGGTGTCTCCGGTATAAACCAAGTGAAGGGTAAATAAAAGAGTGACAGGATGCCACCTGTTGCTGTCAGGCCCCAGTACGAGGTGAAAGGTCCGATGGCATACGCTAGCAGGAACCCGACGTTGATGAACAGCAAAAACAGAGCGCTTAAAGATCCACGTATTTTGTCCTAGAAGTAATTGTTATATATAGTGTTTTCATACTGAATACGACACATATAGCTCTCTTAAAACATACTTTTATTTTTATATAATATGCTATAAACTCTGTAAATAATGAATACGTTGTTAATAAAATTAAAGTAATAGTAGTCCTACTGCTATTATGTTTTAAGAGAGTTACGAGTATATGTGATGTGGTAATTACCATTTTTTTATATTATAGAGGTCATAATAATAAGGGTTAAAGTAAAAAATAGTATTACCGTAAAAAAGGTTATAGTGAGTTAACCTTAAAACATATTTTGTTGCGGATTTTTTTTAGAACTTATAAAGGAAAACAATTCCGTCATACATATAGTTTTCGTAACTTTAACGGTTTACGCAGCGCACGCAGCGGAAACACTTAAAATTTTTGCCACATTTTTTATTCCGCTCCTATTGGTCGTAGCGTGATGTTATATAATCTATAGCAGGAATAATGTAACAGTAAAGGAATTTTGAAATCGGATAAGTAGATTGAGACATGCGATTACTCCAAACAAACAAATACACAAACTTTACCTGTTTATAATATTAGTGTATATCTAGTTTCTAACTATATCTGATAACTACGTTTCTCTCTACTTACTTCAGCAATCTCTCCTATATAGACGGGTACTGTTGCGAACAGCATGCCCGTGGCGCAACCCCAGGCCAGTCTGGCTACGTACAGTGTCTCCAGATTGGTGGCGACTCCAGCTAGTAACCAACCCAGAAGGAGCGGCAAGTTTGTACTCATTATTATCCATCTTCGGCCTATGTATCTTGAAAGAGGCACTGTCAGTAGAGGACCTGGAAGTTAACTGTGATTCGTTTGATCTTTTCATATTTACTAATTCATCACACTTAAATGGCTGAACGTATTTTAGCGAAAAAGCTATGCAATTAAACTGTATCTTATATTTAATATAGAATACCTTTTTGCCTTACACCTGCAGATTCGACTGTACCTAATTATTGAACAAATACACTATAAACCGAAGCGATTAATCCAGAATTTCACAAATAATCTGCGACTTCACAGTGCTTAGGTTTGTTTGAACAGGTCATATGCTTAATTCCTATCCTTGTAGTTAGAAGACATAGGTAATCGCTAATGACCTGGAAAATAGTTAGGTACCTCCCTGTACCTAACTATTTTCCAGGTCATTAGCGATTACAATTCTAAAAATCCTAGTCATTGTTTTTCTACTAAACAAGATAAAAATGCCAACCGTTGATCTAATTAAAATTGAAGGTCGATTGAGAATTTAATTCAGCTACATTTGATTTGCCATTAATGGCAAGAACCACTCAGGCGTGATACTCAATCACGGGATTTTGTGGACAAATTGGTGTACAATTGTGTAATTGGCGTATTGTTTATTTATAACTACGTTTACGTAAGGAGGCACTCGCACATCTACTCACTATTGATTTACATTTTAGCTTTTAATGTATGCAAATACAAATCTAGATTATTTATAAAATTTAATATGTATAAATGCTAGGTTGAATGTTGAATTTGATATGGTTGACAGAGAGATGACTATAATGCTATATAGGTACATATTTATTTGTATATTTATGCAGTTTCAGTTAATAAATAAAAATGTTTAATATTTTATTACAAATTTCATGTAAAATAATATCATTGGAAACCTATGTCATAGAGAAACGTCGAGAGAGTTACATATCTTTATTTGCCACAAAATTGTTTGTAATTTAAATAATCTATGTCATCATCTTTGATAATATATTATGTAATATAAACTAAATATCTTAAATAACTATTTAATAAAAATTTATTAATATCTTCATACTACTTAATACCTATTGTACCTAAATGCGAAAATGTATTTGTTTGTTACCTTTTTATGAATAAACTGCTAATAATGTGACGTGATTAGGTATATTTTATCTTCAAAAAGCAAAGTTCTGGACAACTGTTAGTATGTAACAAGTGTCTATAAATTTTAGAAAGAAAAGGAATAAAAAGTCTTACCAAATAATCCGCCTAGCACTAGGAGTGACCCTATCCAAGATTCCTCTTGCAGTGTTGGTTCGCGGGGCAGAGGAGAATTCGGCCCTCGAAGCTGTGGCAGTACTGGAGATGTCCACCCCATGGCCATGCCTGTACAAAGGCTGCCATAGCTGGCTGTAACAGGATTCCTTTATTTTATTCCAGGAAAAGTAAAAGTTAGACTTCGTAGGCTATTTACGCTAGAATATCGGCATGAAATGCCTAGCCTATTGAAGTTTTATAGACATTGGAATGAGCACACAAATTGCTTACTTTTACTCTGTTTTGAACTTCCTGTTCATGACTTAGCCTTGTACTCTTCTTGCATCACTGATGAATTCTAAGACGTTTATCCTTATGTCGTAGAAATTCACACGCAAGGAGGAATAGTTAAGGAATGTAATTGTAATGGAATATATCGTTCAGTAATAATAGATATTTATGCATAAACACTACGGTACGATATATTTGGTAAAATGTTGGAATTGCCATCAAACTACTTCAAATAGAGAGACGATTGTATAGGTATGTTGACTTCAAAACAATGAATCCGACATTGTACTACTTGCATCAGACTCTATGAAAGTGTATCATATTCAGCTAGATACAAGAAAATAAATATACAACACAAGACACTATACATAAAGTGAGTGACCTTTTCTTTTTAAGTTTATGTATACCTTTCTCAAGATATTAAGGTAAGATTTGTTTTGTAACATGATATTAACAAAAAAATATTTTATTTCACTTACGCATAAACATTTTTATAACATCACAAAAAAATATTTGAAACCAACATTAATCAGTAGCAACACCATTAATTTAACAAGTGTCGCCTGTTCTTTTTATGATTTTTATTTATTTTTGTACTGCATCTGTGGTCATAATAATGATGGTTTACACATTTTAAGCAGCAAGATAATGAACAGTTATAATGACAAAATAATGTGAACTCCCTTTCAAATAAATTAATTAAATTTAATGCTACAGGAAACCATAACAAAAACTTCTAGAATAAAACTTTTAACGTAAAATAGGTACGCACGAATATAAAATTACTCGAATCTATGAACTTTTTTTTATCTAGGTAGGCACTAATTACTGTTTCAATTTTATTTAAAATTAACATTTACAAATATACGTACCTAAAGAGGCTGCTAAATATTGTTCCCATTTGAAAGTCAACAAACGTCTTTTGAATATATCTAACATAATAGTACAATTGAAAGATAATAAATAAGAAAATAAAATATATTTCTAACAAAATAAAGACGTGTGCACGTTTAGACACTACAATTAATTATGGGCAATGACTATTGACAATTGAATAAGTAAGTGTCAAGTATAGATCCTAACCTTCCCTTTCACATTGTTTCAATACTACATTAAGACTGATATGAAAATAAACATCAAGCATACATAACGTAAAGACTTTTATTCCAGACTAGCTGTTCCCGCGACGTCGTCCGCGTGGAATTTAACTTAATTTTCTAAAACAAAAGTAGCCTAAGTTACTCCTTATTACATCAACTACATACCAAAAAAAGTCTCGTCTAAATCGGTTCAGCCAGAGATTAGCCGGAACAAACAGACAGACAGACAGGCAATAATTGTAAAAAATATTATTTCAGTGTATGTTCCACATTTATGATCATATGAATGAAGTAAAAGACGGTTATTTCAATATTACAAACAGACACTTCTTTATTTATATGTATAAATGTGATAGAGTCATTATAAAACTGTTGATGTTCTGGTAAATGCAAAAAATGACACGTTTCTTTTAATTCGATATTGGTATTTCGTTCACTGGGCCGTTAGGTATACCTACATAACTACAATTAATAAAAAAAATACTACAGATAATTAATTAAGGTATTAATGAGTATGATATTTTGTATATGTTGACTTTGTACAAATATCGTAAAGAGCAAATATAAACAGTTATTAATTAATAATACCTAAATAATAATACCTCAGTTCACACAGCGCAAACTATCATAGTTAAGAATACATATGTTTGTATATCATCATCATTATCGGATGTAAGGCAGGTGTGTTAAACCACTAGACCACCGATATCGTCAATAAATAAAAGATTGAATCTTTATAACATCAATAATTTAATATATATTACTTGTAAAGTGTGTCAGTTAAAGAAATGTTAACCTTAAATACTATAAACAATTTCTTAGAATGATTTATGGATAAAGCTTTAACAGAATAGCTAAGAGGGTTTATTAACTGCCTTCACTGAATTGTAGATCGTTTTGTCTCGGTCATCACCTTTTAATTTTGTTTTACCTAGAAATTGTATCTAATTAGGTATATTTTTGACAAATAAATATTTTTATTATTATTATCTACTCGATTGCATTTAATAGAAAATATATGATAGAAATAAGTTGTGCGTTTTGTCTCATTTAATACCTTTTAATTTTCTTTTACCTAGAAATTGTATCTGATTAGGTAAATTTTGACAAATAATAATTTTTATTATTATTAATTATTCGATTACAAAACCATTTAATAAGCAAAAGATACGCGTTCGTAATTCACGAATAAATTTTATAGAAACAATTAGATACTATAATTATTGTCGCAATTTACCCTTGATCTTGATCGATCGTTTCACCTTCATAGAGTTCAAAAGAGTGGGTAGATGAATACAAACTTAATTGCAGTTATCAATAAAGTTTGTTTTGTCCGTGATCGTTTGTAAGGTTAACAATTAGAGCTCATTTCACTGGACAGGCTTGATTGCTCACTATGATTGTTTTCACACAGTTTTTGTTTACAATCTTACATAATTAAGCAGCCTTTCCTGTGATTGTAACTTACGCTTTTTTGTCCAAAAATACACATACATATCTATAATGTCAATAGACAGGTGACTAGCAAAATTGAAAGTATTTGGATATACATATACCTAATACTTATATGTATATGTAGGTACTCTATATACAAAAATATACATATTTAAATGCAAGAACTCTGAAATCTCCAAATCATGTTTAGAAACCGAAAAAAGTGTATATAAAAATTAAAAAACAGGTTCTTTTTTGAAATCGTATGGTATGTACCTACATCATGACGCAATAGTTCTCCAATCTATGCTAACATGTAGGTACCTATGCCAACTATTCAATAACAATAAATGAAGAAGATATTGAATAAGAATATGAATAGTCCGTACAAGAGTACGTAAATGACTCCCTGCCTATACCTATAAAATTAAAAATGGCGACGACAACGCTTCGTTGGCGGGAAAAATCAACCACCATAATATTTTCATCCATGCGAGCCGGTGGCTAATTGGATTCCTGTTACAATAAACGCGTCAGCCGCGGTCGGGGTGAGGGGTGAAAAAATATCTCCCTTCTATATTTTAGAACCTGGGGGATAATGCGATAAAAATGTTAGCGGAGGGAGTTTTAAAAAGCGAATTTTCCAGTAGCCGCGAAAGCGTATTAGGTGACTTTCTTAGTTATATCTGTAGAATTAAAAGGAAGAAATTTTATGGAATAAAAGCTTAAAAGATTATAAAAATATCTTTTGCAGGTAGTTTTATGCCGAATATATTAACTGAAAGTTTCAATCAATATACCTACAAGGTTTTATAGTATAGTAATAATAGTCTAATCTAAGGATATTATCCTCGCCGTGTCTGCAGTGCCTCGTCAACGTACACACAGTCAATTACTTGCTTTTAATATGTAATTTAGGTATATGATTCATTTAATTAGTGTTAGGATTTATAACCACGAGTTATAAATAAGTACACTTAAACAACTGTGTACGTTAAGGAAGTATGAAAGTGCTGTCGGAGAGGTTGAAGAGTAATCGTCTATCATGGTATGGACATGTAATGCGTAGGAATGAGGATAATATTTTAAGGAAGGTGTTACATATGAATGTGGATAAGGACAGAGGAAGGCCGAAAAAGACATGGACTGTGTGAAAGATGATATGGTAAGAAAGGAAGTGAATAACGCGATGATTGCGAACAGGGATGAATGGAAGAGAAAAACATATTACACCGACTCCAAATAAATGAAATAAGGAAGAAGCTGATGATAACCCGTACTAACATCTAGTACGGGCTCTGACGACTTCTAGGTTTAAAAAGAAGTAATTAGTCGTATTTATATTCTTACTCCCTCATAAAACTAACTATAAACGTCTAAGTAAGTAATTGTCGACGTAACTATCAATGATTCTATTTTCCAGTATTAAAATGTGAATTGTGTTAATTAGCTACTTAGTATTATTTATGGAGTATATTAAATCAGCGACGCTAGCGTCACGGTTTAGTCCCATGGGCAGATCTACTAAAAAAGGTACTTAGTATGAACTTGATTAGTGCTTATAGTGCTTGTGAAGTCATTGATAAATGTTATCGACAAAATTGGCTAGATGTCGTTAGACGTGTTAATACCTAAGATCGCTGTGTTAACTCAACGAGGTTGACAAATTAAATAGACTATGTTAGGTTCAGGCTGAGATGAAAATGAACCTGAGATAATTTTGACTAGGCCTATTTTGTCTTTAATTATCACATTTTTGAGAAAGTCTCCAATTGGAGCAAAGACCTCACTCAAACTTGAATAAACAAAGTTTCCATTTAAAATGTCATCCCTTTAGGAAGTACCCAAATTTAATATACGTAATAAATATCCAAGAATGTTATGTACTTACATTCTCAAATAATAGGCATATAAAATGTAATTTAATTATCAAAATCCAATTAAAAGAAGTTAAACAACACTTAAACTGTATAAATAGAAAGAGGATGCATTTCTATTTTTCAATCAAATCAAACGAAACACATCACAAACGGTCGCAATCAAAATGTTGTAACGATTTCCGGGCGCTATTTTCTTTTTTTCCTCGTCACCTCGAGCCACCGATCTCTGTTCATTCTCTTTTTGCTATCTGTATCAAAGCCGTATGTCTAAAAAAATAAAACAGGCAGCAATATTGTGAGAGCATTCACTAATTGATGGTTCGGCATCCAAATTCGTCGCGGTGCATTCGTTTATAGGAATCGATTTAGAAAAACTCGATGTATCGAATTGATTTGCGCGCTTGTCGTCAACGATCTGTTTGGATGTCAACAGATGGCGGTGCTCGAATGGAATCGAGTTGGGAGCTTGACGCACTGTAATTAGTTAGGCGGTGTTTAACATGTGCTGTGAACCGAGATTGAACCATTATTACATTTTAATTAGGTTACCTATTTTACACCAATAGATAGATATATGATGACTTTAAAAAAGTGGACAATTGCAACAGACATTTGGCATCCAATCTACCTCGTTAGATATATTTCGACGTCCAAAATAATGGGTTTGGTTTTGTAGACAAAATTATGTCTAATATAAGCCTTGTTTATGATGATGATGATGATAGGCTTTGTTTAATAAAACGTGGAATAAGAAATTAGTGTCTACAATTGTTCGCTTTGATTTATTCGATTTAGATAATAATGGTGTCATGTGGGAGCTCCACATGACACCATCATTATCTAAATAGCATTGAACCAATATAGATAATTAAAATCTGATGATAATCCCAAACGACTTGTATTTTCTCGTAGTTGAATTAATAATCAAGCTTATGACCAGAAAGTGGTAACTATATCTATACCAACGCTAAAAAATTCGAAGTGACGCCCGAATAGGTAAATAAGTATGCATTACTATTCCTGAGGATTATCATCTCCATAACTTTAAATGTGTATTTCGCTCCTCAAACTAAAATATGAAATTATGTACACCTTGTAGGTGTACTTATATTAAGCTATTGTTTAGAATTTAGTCGTTTATATGAAATATCATAGCAAATATCCATTCAAATTTAAATATGCATGTATTAGGTACACGTCTATGATGTGGCCATATGTTGATAAATAACTTTTTGATGCCCGGAAAACGAAGTTGTCACAGCGACGACAGCCACATTTTTCTACGTCTTGGAAGCAACAAGTATACAGGTTAGAAATCAGTTAGGCATGACATCCAATTTGTGTTCAATTTGAAATCTTAATAAGCCGTCAAAGCGTTCCAGAAATATCCCACTAACTAATTATGTAGTTATAAAGGGAAGCTACAGGCGTCGATTGACAAATGTGCTTGTAGCGCGGCGATACATGCAATTAGGCGCGGAATGTGAATGCATTATAATAATGTGAATTACTGAACGCAGCTATC